TATATACGTATATATACATATATATATTTCTATATAAAATGAAGAAAGATTTAGAGGAGATCTTACCTTTTGATGTAGATGTTTATTCAACAAAACTAGTGATTTGTGTGCTTAATCCATTATCTATTAGGATGAGTGGAACAAGCATTTTCATTCTGATTTTAAGTTCTCTGAAATGCTCTACATAACTAGTGATTTGTGGTGCAGATTTCCTTATTTCTTAGTTCTTACCCTGCCTCTGCATATCATTTTTTGCATTGATTGTGACTATTGCTTGCAGTTACAGAGAGAGATAGAGGGGCAAGTTCAGATCTGAGAACGAAAATAGAGAGGGCAAGTTCAGAGTCAAGAGAATAGAGATGGAGCTAGATGAGTTTTCAGATTTCCTATGTGAATTGAGGATTGGGATTGGGAATTTGGGATTTGTGTTTTGTTTTGTGGATAGTTTTACGCGCGTGGCTGCTTGTTGGCCTTTAGTTTAGAATAACTAATTATATATATATATATATATATATATATATATATATATATATATATATATATACGGTTTCGGTTCTTACCGGTTCCCACGGGCTGGAACCGGTACCGTTCACTCACGGTTCCGAAATTAAGAACCGGAGCCGGAACCGTGAGAACTGGAAAAAACGGTTCCAGTTCCCACGATTCTGATTCCGGTTCCACAGTTCCGGTTCTTTTGTGCACCCCTAGTATTTTTCTACTTTGTTTAAACCTCAGGGGGTATTTTGCACTTTTGCTTAAATAAAACTTTAAAAGTAAAAAGGAAACTAATAACATAAAAGAAACTAATTGCTTAAGGAAAGTCAAAATATAAAGAAACTAATTGTACAAGGAAATTAAAAACCTAAAATTAAACTTTCTAAAATTAAAAAAATAATAATATAAAACTACTAAAACTGTCCAACATCATATATGAATCATGACAATAAAAAAGTTATTTTGAATTAAAAATAACCTAATCTACTCCAATTCGAGCCGTCCATGAAACAAATGATATTTAAATTGAAACTAGGTTTAAAAAAAAAAAAAAACCAAATATCACATTTGCTTGGCATTCTTCTATCATTATATAATTTGAAAATATAAATCACCAACAAATTTTCAACAACTAAAAAAGAAATAAATAAAATTGGACACATCTCAAAATCTGTCACACGATTCTTTTAGGGATTATTACATATAAATGAACTTAGTGGCCCATATTTACCCATACATTGAGTCAAAGTCAATAATTTCTCTAAAATGTGTTTGACCCAAAAGCTGAGGTGGCACATGAAAAAATACTGTTTCATATTTTTGTTGTCTAAAATACCCTTCTTCCTATTTTATGTGTTGCCTAAAATGCCCTTTTGCGAAGGTACCACTTTTTTTCTAAAGGTACCACATTTTTGGACTGAAGGTACCACTTTTTGGCGTCCAGGTACCATGTTTTCTAAACACTCGTTTAGCTAGATTGGAGAATATTTTGTATTATTCATGGCGTTAACAGAACTGTTTATGGATGTAATGTGCAACCTAATAAGCGGTGTGGGGTTTAATACCATTTTCATTTGCAAAAATACTTTTTTTTGGTGTCAAAGTATCATATTTTCTAAACACTCTAGCTAGTTTGGAGAATATTTTGTGTTATTCATGGCCCTAATAGAGCTATTTATTGATCCACTGTGCAACCTAATTAGCGGTGTAGGGTGTAATACCATTTTCAATTGCAAAAATAAGTCCTTTTTGCAAAGGTACCACTTTTTTTCCAAAGGTACCACGTTTTTAGACTGAAGGTACCACTTTTTGACATCCAGGTACCATGTTTTCTAAACACTCGTTTAGCTAGATTGGAGAATATTTTGTGTTATTCATGGCATTAATGGAGCTGTTTATGGATGTAATGTGCAACCTCAATAGTGGTGTGGGGTTTAATACCATTTTCAATTGCAAAAAAAAGTCCATTTTTTTGGCGTCGAGGTACCATGTTTTCTAAACACTCTAGCTAGCTTGGAGAATATTTTGTGTTATTCATGGCCCTAATGGAGCTATTTATTAATCCACTGTGCAACCTAATTAGCGGTGTGTGGTGCAATACTATTTTTAATTGCAAAAATAAGTCCCTTTTGAGAAGGTATCACTTTTTTTCCAAAGGTACCACGTTTTTGAACTGAAGGTACCACTTTTTGGCGTCCAGGTACCATGTTTTCTAAACACTCGCTTAGCTAGATTGGAGAATATTTTGTATTATTCATTGCGTTAATTGAGTTATTTATGGGTGTAATGTGCAACCTAATTAGCGGTGTGGGGTTTAATACCATTTTCAATTGCAAAAATAAGTCTCTTTTTTTGGGCGTCAAGGTACCATGTTTTCTAAACACTCTAGTTAGCTTTGAGAATATTTTATGTTATTCATGACCCTAATGGAGCTATTTATTAATCCAATGTGCAACCTAATTAGCCAACAAGCTACCAGGTACCATATTTTCTAAACACTCGCTTAGTTAGATTGGAGAATATTTTGTGCTATTCATTGCGTTAATGGAGCTGTTTATGGATGTAATGTGCAACCTAATTAGCGGTGTGGGGTTTAATACCATTTTCAATTGCAAATATAAGTCTCTTTTTTTGGCGTCGAGGTACCATGTTTTCTAAACACTCTAGCTAGCTTTGAGAATATTTTGTGTTATTCATGACCTTAATGGAGCTATTTATTGATCCAATGTGCAACCTAATTAGCCAATAAGCTACCATTCACCTCAAGGAACCTCACTATTTCCATCTTAATCCATCAAGGCTTATAAGATGTAATTTCCTCAACTTTTGATATAATTTTTGCTATAGAGTAATTTCTTAGTATAACTTAGTTGTTAGTACTATAGCTCAATGTTCAATTGCACTTTTTCATGTTATATATTCTGCACGGTTAGTGAAAATTTTCCAAAGGCCATTCGTTGGTAGGAATCAGTGATTTTTATTATTATTATTTTTTGAAATTGTCTTTTGTCTCTTAATATCAAATACATATATATATATATATATATATATCTGGTACAAATCTATGAATTCTTTCATAGTTGTATTAATTGCACAAATTTTTTTTTTTCGTGTTACTCATAATAGTGCTGTCTTTTTAGGCGAATTATAAATTTTTTTTTAATTTTGATGATTTTTTTAAAATTATTATTATTCAAAGTTTCGAATTGTCTGTTTTTATATTACTTTTGTTCCTTATTATTATTATATAATGCCTTAATACCTTAATTTTCATTGCATGTGACAGTCACAGAGATAAAGTGGTTCTTTTGTTCCAACTACACACAGAGACACAGAGAATGCATGTCCATCAAATACACAAACAAGAGGACTCTCACTAGGACCACACAAAGGAAAAAGGCCACAAAATGGTTTACCACATAACAAGGAAATACATACCTATATTTACCCAATTGGGAGCTAGAGGAAGTGGGATAGGAGGATCTCAAAATCCAAAAAGTACTTGAAATGATGTGGGATATGGGACATATGTAATGTTGAACAGTGTCATTTTTTTTGCTGCTATTTTGCAATCTGTTGGTGTGAGCTATTTTTCTACTTTTAAAGAAGAATAACTGTGCAACTTTTTATTGTGATTAGGTTAGTATGTTTTTGCAACCATTGTATGGCATATTATACTGGCATCTACCTTAAATGGAATGAAATGAAGTTCTCTTTTGCATTGGGTTTTTATGAATTAGTATTGTATGGCTTATTATATTAGAGCCTCACTGAATTTTCTTCGACTATTACATGAATGTAGTATAAAAAATATTTCATTCCAAAATTGAAGCAATTGAATGAATAAGGGTAGTTTTGTAACTCTGCAATGGTCAATAAAGTTAAAAATGTCATTTCAGCCATTGTAAAGGGTAAAATTGACCTTCTACCCATTTATCCATCCTGACATCAGCACTAAACGTCTGTTACTTAAAGGCAGGGGGTAAGTTGATACGTATGGTATTACACCCTACACCGCTAATTAGGTTGCACAGTGGATCAATAAATAGTTCCATTAGGACCATGAATAACACAAAATATTCTCCAAGCTAGCTAGAGTGTTTAGAAAACATGGTATCCCGACGCCAAAAAAAATGACTTATTTTTACAATTGAAAATGGTATTAAACCCCACACCGCTAATGAGATTGCACATTACATCCATAAACAGCTCTATTAATGCCATGAATAATACAAAATATTCTCCAATCTAACTAAACGAGTGTTTAGAAAACATGGTACCTGAACGCTAAAAAGTGGTACCTTCAGTCCAAAAATGTGGTACCTTTGGAAAAAAAAGTGGTACCTTCGCAAAAGAGGCTTATTTTTGCAATTGAAAATGGTATTACACCCTACACCGCTAATTAGGTTGTACAGTGGATCGATAAATAACTCCATTAAGGTCATGAATAACACAAAATATTCTCCAAGCTAGCTAGAGTGTTTAGAAAACATGGTACCTCGAAGCCAAAAAAAACCCCACATCGCTAATTAGGTTGCACATTACATCCATAAACAGCTCCATTAACGCCATGAATAACACAAAATATTCTCCAATCTAGCTAAATGAGTGTTTAGAAAACATGGTACTTGGACGCCAAAAAGTGGTACCTTCAGTCCAAAAATGTGATACCTTTGGAAAAAAAGTGGTACATTCGCAAAAAGGCATTTTAGGCAACACATGAAATAGGAAGAAGGGTATTTTAGGCAACAGAAATATGAAACAGTATTTTTTCATGTGCCACCTCAGCTTTTGGGTCAAACACATTTTAGAAAAATTATTGACTTTGACTTGATGTATGGGTAAATATGGGCCACTAAGTCCATTTATACGTGATAATCCCATTCTTTTAAACCTTTCACTTTCATTCCTATTAAATGTAAGCTCTCGTGCTATGTAACTTTGCTCAAGATGCTTTGTGTTCACAAAAAAGCAGCAGCAAAAGGAACACCAGTTGGATAAGATGTTCACAATAAACCAGCAGCAAAAGGAACACCAGTTGCAGGCAACCACGCATCCCCTGAAATGAAGCTGCCCACAGTGAATTTAGCCGCATCCGCTGCACTCATCACATGGAAACCAGGCCATGCCACCCTCCCGCCAGTCCCCGAGCCCGCTCCCGTATTACCAAACTCACCATAATACAACGTCGGGGGCGGCACCTCCCCATTCCATTCCAACCAACCGGCAGCATCAATCAACCCATCCAGGAAGCTCTGCATAAAAACCGTCCTCGCGTACCCCTCCCATGGTCTCCCTAGGAACGTCTTCGTCTTGCCATTTCCCGAATTCGCCAAGTCACTAGCTGCTCTGATGTTACAGTTGTGGATTGATATGCCAGTGTTCTGGTTTTCGTGTGTCCTGCTTTGTGCAGTGATGGTGTTGGTTTGTCCTGTCATTCCAAGTCGCGGATAGATGTTGCAGTTTTGGAAGACAGCTGCTGCATTTCCGAAGATGAAGTCCACGGTTCCATAGATGTCGCATTCTCTGTAGAATTGTCTCTGGGAATGGGTATACAAGGTGTCTTGGTAGCCATCGAAGCTGCAGCGAAAAAATGTGGAGAGGTCTGCACCATTTCTGACTGCCACTGCTTGGTGCTTGATTGCCCCGGCTGTGTTACGGAAGGTTATGTTTATGGCAACAAATCCTTCCCCAACCACAGCTGCAATACATGTATTGAAAATTCAAGAATTACATATATATATATAACATGGTGTTTGGATGACAAAGGAGGGAAGGAAAGAAAAATATATCATTTACATAAACAAATTATTTACATTTGCTTGAACTTACAACAAAATTTATGCAAGGGCCAGACGCTTGTCATTCGACTCAAAAGTTTAAGAGTGGAGCTATCTGTCTGCCCTTAAACTGTCAGGTAGAGCAGCATGTCCGTCTAAGTCCAAGACAAAAACCTCTAATCGTAAACTTGTTTCTAATTTTTTTTCTTTGGTTTCTCTTTTTCCTTTTCATTCCAATTCATTCCATCCAAACACAATCTAAGATCAAGTGATACATGAATATAGATCATTAACAAAACTTTTAATTAGTTTTAGATCATATTCGGTGCAAAAATAATATCAAATGTTAAATTTATATCTAGTTTGTCCCTCTCTACACCTGTGAAGATGTATCCACTAAGTAATCATTGATCAAAGTCATTGTTTCATGAATGTACAAGTAAAATTATGTTGCTCCTATGGGATCTAATTGACTTCATGTGGAACCAAAATTTAAAAAGTTATGCATTGAAAATAAAAAATAAAATAAAAAATACAACAATCTAATGTTATTATGATATTTCAGCTTACCAAATGTTTGAGTATTAAATGTTGACCATCCATCACCCACACTCCGACTACCGGTAATGATAGTCTGGTCGATTCCATCTCCTACCATCATCAAGTACCTCTGGTTCTTGCCAATGGAAACATACTCTTCATAAACCCCTGCAACCACATGAATCAAGAAATACCCATTGTTCGGATTCGTGTTGATTGGCGCTGCAGCGATTGCAGCATTGATGGTAGTGAAATTCCCACTTCCATTCGGATTTACAACCACCACTTGGCTAACAGCCACATTACCCCCACTTTTTTGGAGGAGTTTTGTTCCAATCAGTGACTCGTAAATGTTCCGGTTTTCGCTTGACATTGTCAATGGCAACTGACCATCTTGTCTGAGATCAATGTTCTTGGAAAAAATTTGCTCTCTATCCATTAGCCACCGGCTTTTTGTCATGTCAGGAAACCAACCTTGCGTAAAAAGTGAAAGAGACGCACCATATAGCAGAGTTCCATTAGTGAGTGGGGCTAAAAGGGCATTTCTAATAGTTAAATCAGAATTTATGGCTTGAAGACCATCTAAACATGTTTGTTGGTTGGTTAAAATTGCAGAAAGCAAGGTTTGAGTGTCCTCAGCTTGAAATGTCTGAAGAGTATTTGTTGAATTAATGGTTTGAATAGTGTTTGACAAGAAATCAATGTTCAAGCTATAGAGAAATTGGCAATCTTGGAGAGCAAAAATGGTGGTTTGTGACAATGTTTGTCCAAGGTTGAGGTAACCATTGATCAAAGAAAGGAAACTTCCGGTTTCTACTAAGGCGCGATTAATTGAAAGCCGGCCACTATCAAATATGGTGCCTGAAGGATTCTGTGCTAGCGCGGATTTGCAGAAGAATGGGAAAGGAGAAAAGAAATGGAGCATGAGAAAGAGAGAGAGAATGCAAATAGTGGAATGTAAATTTATGGAAGCCATGTTTGGATGCCTTGAACACAAGAATATTCAATTATATATATAGAATTTCAGATGTAACAAATGCTCCAAAGAGAGTTAATATTGATTTATTTGATGGCTGACAAAAGAGATCTAAAGCGTTTGACTTCTACAAATTATTCCTTGACAGTTTATGAAGGTTGTGGTGCAATTTAACTCGTTGCATTGATTTCAGTATAAAGTTGTACTCTTTAAAATCCTTTTTTCAAATAGTACAAAGTTATACTTCAGTCTATGTAGCCTTGAGTACTTAAAATTCATTTTGTTCTTAGATATTATAATAGTTTAAAGTAGTTTAAATTTAATTTAACTAATGGTTTTTGAAAAACTTTCTTTGAATAAAGAACCATAAAAGAAAGTATTTAGTCTATTTTCTATTAGTAGATCTTTTTAATGATAAATTAAATTAGATGTTATAATGACTAATAAATTTCTTTTAACTAAAGGTTTTTGAAAAAAAGTTATTTGAACCATAAAAGAAAATATTAATTTCTTTTTTCGTTCTTAGATGTTATAATGACGAATTAAATTTCTATTTGAGTTATGTTATTTAGAGAGTAACCTCTTCATATTTAACTTCTGTATTAAATATTAAAACCAAAAAGTCTTGTATTTAACTAAAGGGTTTTAGGAAACGGTCTTTGAATCTAGAACCATAAAAGAAAGTATTAGCCCTTCTAAGTTTTTCAAGAGCAATTTTCTATCTCTAAAGTTCCCCAAAACATTTCTAGGAGATTGAAACAACTACACCTTAAAAAAAAAACGTTTTTAGATAAAATAAAACTAAATAAATAAACAATCAGACCTTTGCTTCGTTTTGGTGCGCAGAATGTAAGTAGGAAAGGAATGAAATGAAAGTGGGAATGGAATGATAGTGGGAATGAATGAGAATGGGAATGGAATGCAGACATTCTCATTCTATTGTTTGGTCCTAAATATGAAATATGTAGGAATGTAGTATTATAACCATTCTAGTGTTTAGTTGGACCAATTTAAAATTTAAAATAGAATAAATTTCAAATTTAGTTCTCCAAAATATCCTTATTAGTAATAAGTAAATTCAATTAACAAAATGACATTCTTTTATAATTTTTTTTTAAATAAATGATGGCATGGCGGGGGTGGATGGTGGTGCCAGAAGTAGAAAACGATAGTGGTGTTAGAAGGCGACAGCGGTGGCGGTGGTGGAAGGCGGTGGTGATGGTAGTGGAAGACGGTAACGGTGGCAGTGGTGGAAGGCGGTGACGATGGCGGTGGCAGTGGTAGAAGGGGTGGCAATGGTGGTGGTGTTGGGAGGTGGTGGCGGTGGTAGACGGAGGCAGTGGTGATGGTGGTGGTGGAAGGCGGTGACGGTGGTAGACGGCGGCAGTGGCGGTGGTTGAAAAAAGCAGTGATGGTGGTGGTAGTGGTGGAAAGCAGTGACGGTGGTGGTAGTGGTGGAAGGCAGTGGCGGTGGAAAATGATGGCAGTGGCGGTGGTGATAATGGAAGGTGGTAGCGGTAACGGTGATGGTGGTGGAAGGTGGTGGCTGTAATGAAAGGCAATGGTGGAAGGTGGTGGTGATGAAAGGTGATGGCGTTGGTAGCGATGGCAGTAGCGACGATGGTGGTGGAAAGAGGTGGGCAGTGGTGAAAGTCAATTGCGGCGGCGGTAGTAGAAGACGGTAGTAGTGATGAAAGTCGATCGTGGTGGTAGTGAAAGGTGGAGATGGTTATGGTGAAAGGTAGCAGCGGTTTTTGAACTTGGAACATGAGAGTTTTTTAAGAAGTTGAATTTTTAAAAAAATTTACTTGGGAATGAAATGATCATTCTATAGGTTTAGTTGTGAAATCACCATTTCATAGATTTAGTTATGGAATAGATTTTCATTCTCAGGAATGGATATTCCATTCTCAGTTTAAATTGCATGTCAAACAAAGAATAGTTGAAATGGGCATTTCATTCCATTCTATTCCATTCCTGCACACCCATAGCATTAGGCCCAGTTTGGTTGGAGGTAATAGAAGGAAAAGAAAAGAAAGGTAATAATGGGAGATTAAATGTTATGTTTGGTATAGGTTCTTAAAGGGGACAGGGAGATTCGAAATGATACAAATTAGATATGTACCGAATTTGTCTTTACTTTTGTATAAGACAAATCTCTACAAAAAGGTATGATAGTAAATTTATTAAAATAGTTTTTTTTTTTTTTTTTTTTTCCAAACATGATTAAATTAATTAAAATAATTTTATTAAATCACTATAGTCTGATTAGAAATTCAAATTTGTTCCAATAAAGACACGCTCAAATTTGTTTCACTAAAGATAGGGCGCTGAGTACCTTCCGGCAAAAATGCCATCACATGTATATATGACTATTGGAGAATGAAAATTGTAACGGATATGACATTTTCAATCCCCTTAAAATATTTGGTTTAAAAAAAATAAAAAAAATGAGTCTAAAAATTTAGCATTGCCCGTATCATCTCACAAAATTTAATTAGAGGGATTTTTTTACTTTACAATCACCTAAAAATATTTGGTTTATATCAATAAAAAAATAAAAATAAATAAAAATAAAAAGTCGACAAATTTGGCATTGCCCGTATCATCTCACAAAATTTAATTAGAGGGATTTTTTACTCTAATTATTCACATAATTTTAACAATAATATCTCCATTAAAGCCAAGGTTGAATGTACAACTATAATAATTAAAGCAATTGTCATTAGCAAACTCAAAAGATGAAAATGATTCCCATTTCAACAAAAGATATTACAATGTATCTACATTCCTACTCTCCCAAAAATCCCATGATAATATAAAGTTTTCCTGCAAAGTAAGACAATATCACATACATAAACACGTAATAATATAAAGTTTTCCGGCAAAGAAAGACAATATCACATACATAAACACGTGTTCTAAATTCTCTCATTTGAGATTCTTGTTAGGGTTTTCAATCATAAATAAACCGTGTTACACGGTTTTTCGAATAATAATTCTTCATCATAGGCCTAATCCTTTTTTATTCACGTCCATGCTGAGAAGATCCCCACTTTTATTGTATAATGGTTTTAGTGGGACGATTCTAATCCCATCTAATCTTGCAACCCCTTGACCTCAAGGTCTCAAGTAGCTCTGGGGAAAGCAAGAATCCAATAGAAGCAAGCAACTTCACCTTTTTGAGCTGGGCACAGCAGGCTCTAAGCGCCACCTCAAACCCTTTCACCGACACGTTAGTGAGGTTCACCAGCTTCGCATCCTGCAGACGAGTCAAGTTCCCCATCACCATGCACAGCCCCATATCCGAAATTGCACAACAGCTTACATTTATCTGCCACAACCACATAAGCTTCAGTCTTACTATTTCCTAATGCCCGAAAAACTATGTCTATATATATATATTAAAGAAAAATATAGGACATAAAACATGGATAGAATTTCTTATGTAACAAGCCTAGATGCATCATCAATTACTTCAAATTCAAAAATAACAAGCATTAGAATTAGTAGCATCTCTGATCTCCTCCACCTTTCAAAGTAAAGGTTGAGAATTCAAGTCCCAATTGAGACAAGTATGCCTGTGACTCTGTCTATCCTATAAAATAAAAAAAGTGTTCCACGGTAGATACAAACAACCAGAGAAGTATCATTTATTTTATTTTATATTATGAATACATTCTTACAAGTTATGAAACATAAACCACAATAACAATGTGGTATCAATGTGTTCTTTTCAAGTGCATATAGGAAGATTGTGTCAGGACTAAAAAACAAATGAATGACACCAAAACATTGTCTTCACTTCACTACCAAGATCACTGTTTTTTGGTCCCAATTCTACTACAATTTTCTTCAGAACAACAATTTCTTCAGTTTGTAAGACCTCTAAAATTATCCCCGTATATGTATTTAAGAAAATTCAAAGCATTATAAACAGTCAATTTGGTTTCCATGAAGATCAAGGTTTCAGGTCAACCCCATTTCTATATGCACAACGGGACATGCTTCCATTAATAAAAATATTTTGAAGAAAATATCACCTATTTTGCAAGTAAAAGATCTGGATAAATTTTTGAAATGATACTAACCTAGGATACACCTAAACACCGGAGAAAAACATTTTGCCTAAACACCTATAGTAATATGATGCCTCGTGAGTGGCTTAACATACATTTCCTTATTATTCCCCTTCCAAATACCACCGGTCCCCCCTCTCCCCACTTTTAGATTCTGTACCTTTTCAAACTAAAAACCAAAATTTTGAATGAAAAAACTAGTTATAAGATGAAAAATCCCACAAGTCTTGACCGCTAATTTCATGGTCAAAACTTATCGCCTGACTTGGAAATTTCCCCTATAAAGGTGAGAATTACAACTTATGTAGTTTGTAGGAGCTGTGGTGCACAGAATTGTGACTCCTGGAAACTTTGAAAAAGAACAACTAGATTTCCTTCTGCAAACAAAGAGTTCAAGGTTCCCAGATGGCATAAACAAGCCCCAAAAATTTCTTGCGTCTACTCTTCTTTCTTTTCATTCAATAAGTGGAGTTGGATATTAGAAAATGTAGAATTTACATGCAAAAAGTTACTTTTCTTAAAAGAAAAGGAAGGCCATTATCAATTATGGTCTTTGTTTTATCTAGGGTTGGGAGTCAATACTGGGTGACTGCAAGCTTAACCCTTGTCAATAGTTGCACAAGTGGGCTAAGCACATACTTGTACCGAATTTAAATGCTTGGTGGCTCCCACTGAACCAAGCAATGTCCCCTACTGCTCTATTTTAAAACAAAACAAAATTCCAACTTAAAATCAAGAAACCAAACCTGTAGCAAATTCTTTGAGTAGTATGCAAGAGCCCAAAATCCCGTATCATTAATATTCTCACAGTGCTTTACATCCAATTCTGAGAGATTCTTGCATCCTGCTGCAAGTGCCGTCAAACCTGTGCCTGTGACGTTCACAAGACCACGAAGTTCCAGTTCAGAAAGTTCTCGCAGATGGCTCAAGTACTCCATACCTATGTCAGTAATCTCACTGCAGTAAGACAAGTTTAACTTCTTTAACTTCTTGCAACCACTTGATATAGCAGCTAAAGTATCATTGCTGATTCCCATACAACTGCAACAAAGTTATTAGGTAAGAATTTCGATAATTATTCACATAAACATGAACAATTAGTTCTTGGTATAAATTACCGGTATAGATCAAGTTCACGGATCTTTGTGCAGTTAGAAGCAATATAGAACAATCCCTTGTCTGATATGTTTGTACAAAGTCCTAATTTTAAGCATAGAAGTTCTGAACATTTAGACAAATACTTGAGTCCTGAGGAAGAGAATAAATAAGATCAGATTTAAATCAATTACAAATCACAAAGTCTGGAAACTAATAGGCAACAGATTATTTCTGAAACTAAAATTAAAATTACAAAATAAATTTGAAGACTTTGCATGCATAAGAGAGAGAAATGAATGTTTAAAACATACTCCTACAAACTAAAATTTGTGCTTTCTTGATCTATGCATAATGAAATTCAGTCAATACAATTTATGATGGAGTCAATTAGAAAATTTTACCAGCATCGTTTATGCCAGAACATTCTGTCAGATCAAGCTCCTCAAGTAGCAGGCAACATGATCCAAGACAATCCAGACTCTTCTCAGTGAGCAAATTGCAGGACTCTACCTTAAGGCACAAAAGATTTCTACAAGAGTTCGCTACAGCTGATATTGCCACATCAGTAATAGAATTGCAGCATGTTATATTGAGGATCTTCAAATTGGCACATCCAGATACTAGCTGTGTAATGCCAAAGTCTGTTACTCCTTTGCATTTGCTCAGCCCAATTTCAAACAAAAATTTGCAGTAACTGCTGATGATTTGAAAACTAGAGTTAGACACTCGAGCCCCATCTATTCTAATTGTATTCAGATTCTTCAAGTCCTTCAAGCAGCAGAGAAGGGTTTTGGAAAGTTCCTAGTGCAAATAGAAATTCGAGTTCAGGCTTATAATTTACACCAACTGACATTAAAAAGAAAAACTTACTGAAGCTAAGCCCCAAATCAAAAATCACTCACAAAAAAACAATAGCCTGCATTGAGCTTCTTCAGACCACTATGTCCTCTAATTACAGAAACTAAGCCAGATGAACTCACATTGTCACATCTCGATACATCCAGTACCTACACGAAAAGGTATTGATACCATGAATAGGCTGTAACTTATCAAATTATTTCAATTTTTCATAATTATTTGAGAAAAGTGGCTGTCCTCATTCTCAAAATCAATGTTACATGAATTCTTCAAAATAGGTGAAGTATCGAAATCAGACACACAAAAACATCGATATGGAATATGTATACTTCCAAATGGACATGCAACTAAATAGTAAATAGCATATCCAATGATTAAATTTTATTATACAATTGCTTCAAAACAAGTGAACATAGAAATATGTTACATGTAATAACCAATGGGCCAGCAATACCAAGCCCCTACTTTCAAAAGGTAGGTCAGGGGCTCAAACCTCAGTGGAGGCATGTGTGTGACCAACTACGAAAAAAAAAAAAAAAAAAATACCATATAATATAAAAAAATTATTTTACTCTATCAAAAAAATAGAAATATTAGATAATATGAATATATAGTATTGTACTTGTGGATGTCAGTTTGGGAATTTGATATATCTGATAATTAGATACATACTCACATCAGACACATACCCTAGTCCACATTGTTGAAATTAAGATATATCATCATTAACAACCCAAGCATTTATCATATACCAAGAAATCAGTAAAATTTTAGGATGGTATCTAGTCCTCTCCTCCTAGCACCTTCAATTAGTGGGGATCGATACATTTCTTTAACTTATTTGCTTAAAATGTTCTTATATATAACCCAATAAGTTTATAAAACACTTCCTATGCATCATGATTTAATATATGTAAAAGAGATGCAATATGATTAAAAGAATCAATTATCATATCAGATGGCGGGCAATGATTATTAAAGTAAAATTAAGACTTTCAGGCAGAACATGATCAAATTATTTGCCACCTAATTAACAAGTCATACATATTCTAAATATGGCATTGTATAAATTGCTTATAATGCCAAATCACCTAGATGAGCATGTCGTCTTCACTCTCTCTATATGACCATATGAGCATGAGTTTTGTTAAGAAAAATGAAGAATCAGGTCCAGTGATATAATATACTCCTAATTGTTATATAATAATGTATTACCTTTATAGCTATAAAAATGTTTTTGACAATCTTACATGTTGGCATGTTGCAGATGTTTTTTCTGTGTATTTTATATCTACGTTGATATTTTCATTATTTCTGATCTTTCTCATATTTAATCAAAATATTCTATATCCATAATATTGGGAAAAAGACTGAACTTTAAAAAAAAAAAAAAAAAAAATTCAACTTTTTATGTGTACAAGCATATGCACACAAGGTTGGATGTGTTTATGCAAATCAACATATACATACATGTATATATGCATGAAACATCCGCATATACACAACCCACAAGTGCTCAAAAGTGAAAATTGTTTTATTGCACTTCATAGTTGAACATTCAATATTTTCATAAATGGGTTGAATGTACAAATTCTATATGAATAATATCTTTTTATGAAAGAAAAATTTACCTTAAGCGAAGGGCACCCATTTCCAAGAAAATCCAAGCCAGCATCATCCACTAATCCACACCCAGTCATAGCCAAAACTCCCAACTTCTTCATGGCGGCAATCGAACGCAACGATTCACTTGTAATCTAAAAAAGCAACAAAAAGCAATCCACCCATAAGATACAACACACTCATACATACATATATATATATATATACACACACATATATACACACATATAAAGAGAGAGAGAAACAACCTTAAGATATGATATGTCAAGAAACTTCAAGCAAGAACATTCCTTAGACAAAAGATCGATACCAAGATCAGTTATCCCAAGACACCACTTCAAACTCAGTCTCTCGAGCTTTTCACATCCAACGGCTATCTTAACCAACCCAACGTCAGTGACACGCAAGCACTTGTCCATCTTCAGAACCCTCAGCCCCGCGGCGCACGATAGCGCCGCGGCCTCCCGGTCACCAAGCTCGCAACAATACGACACGTCGATCACCTCCAAACACCGGCACGACCGGGTGAGCATCTCCAACCCGGCCGATCTCAACCCGGTGGTCCGACTCAACACCAGAATCCTCAGCCTCCGAGTCCAACTCGCCGATCCGCCACCACTCATCAGCATCGCCACCGTACCGTCATCGAATCGCGGACACACGGACAGATCGAGAGACTTGATATGCTTATACTTGCGAAGCAGACCCGGGAGGAACTCGGTGCGGAGGACTCGGAGGGTGGTTCGGTGGAGCGAGTCGACTCGGAGGAACGCCTTGCAGGCGGATCGGAACGATTTGCGGTCCGAGTCATCGGCGAGTCTGTCTAGTACACGTAGTAGCAGATCGTCAGTGAGGAGAGAGAGAATCGGAGGGGACTCCATTGGAATTTGTGGAGAAGTGAAGGGCATTTCGGGGATGATGATGAATTAGGTTGGGACGAACAAGAAGAGAAGTCGTAGATGGAGGAGAGAGTGTTGTTGTGTGCTTAAGAGACACCGACACGAGCCGATACGACAAAGACGTATCTCTTTCATATCTTCCGATCACCGGTTAATCGGAAAATGTCTACACCTTCAGCTTGCTCGCCGATAACAGAAGTAGAGAGAAAGAGAGCGAGTTTTAGAGAGAGAAGACGAGTGGAATGTGCGAAACTGACCATTCTTTCTTGCTCACACACTAAATGGGCGGTAACAATTTGCCCAATTTGGTAACAACTGTCACGTGATTTGTCACGTGACCTTTCTACAGTCTTTTTTCATCCAACGTGTCCAACAGTTATTGGATATTGCGTAGCAAAAGCTTTTACAAAGATGCAGAGAACCAAAAGGATATGTTTGTAGTAAAGTTAAAATGACAAAGTAGTCCTTGTTTGATTAAAATTCAATTATGTTATTAGTCATATCTGTTTCAAAAATACCATATAGTTAACAAATATTCAGACATACAAATGTCAATAATTATTTTTCGCGACGACGAGAGTCTAGCATAATTCACATGACCCTCACTTTTAGAATTGGATTTACTCTTATACCATAAACACCTTAATGCGTAAATATTTCTTATATTCATAATGCTTATACTTTGTAATTTTTAAAACTTGTCTGCATAATTAAGAATTCTCACATATAATAATCATTCAAGAAAATAGTGCCAAAATTATCAGATTTATTTTGGGGGTATTTTGGGGATACAACAACATGGATTCTACGGTGTCTTCGGTGCAATTACTTGAGTGCAGTGACATTGAATACAGTGGTTTGGGCCGTTAGATTATATTTGAAGTGATTCTGATGAGGATCCAACGGTTGAGCAGAAAAGAGGAGGTACAGCAGACATTCACACGTGGCTTACGTTTGGTCAGTGGGACTCTGTTGTCAAAGAGTACGAAAATCGTCCGGTTAGAGAGAGAAAAAGAGAGGGGGGAGAGAGAGAGTATAGTTGGGCGAGTGGGGACCACAAACGTGCAAAGACCGTACCTATCTTGAAAATAAAAGGACAAATGGATATCAACGTGAAGCTGGGTGGGTGGGGACCACGATAAAGAGCAATCGAAGTAGTACAAGTTGGAGCGTGAACAGACTTTTTCTTAATATATACCGAACCCTCCATTTGGTCAAATATTAGAAAACTTTGGCATTTTGTATTAAGATTCAAATTTTAACATTTTAAAAACTTATAAAAATATCATTTTTTTTTTGAAATCTATACAACTTTTTTTATATATAAATAAAAAACTATACAAATTTTTATTTGAAAATTAATCATTTTTCAACTCAATTTTCATATATCAAATATCAATTAATCATTTTTTTTATTTTTATTTTTATTTTGTCGGCGTTTGGCAAAAGTCTACGTTAAAATTGAGATCGAATTCATCTGACGGAAGCATGTAAAATAAGTTGTCGAAAATTAATGGATAAGTTATTTTTGTTAAATTTTAATACTTTTTTCTTCGTAAATATTTTACGACAACCAAACACACCAAAAAATAACGTCCAAACAAACGGAGTCTTACTATGTAGTTAAAGTTTATAAATTTTGCAAAATTTCTAAAATATTGATACAATTTTTATGAAAAAAAATAAAATATTATTCGGTTTAGTTTCCGCTAGAAAAAAGGTCTTTCTCAAAATAAATACAAAATTTAATATTTCACATAATGACTCCTTCTTCTGTCCCAAATTTAATATATTCATTGAAAATTGCTACAGAGGAAGTATTTGGAGTCTTGAACTCAGCTAATGACATTGATACACATTAAGCGTATAAAAAATTTGGACACACTAAACCGCACAACCAAAATTTTTTAGGTGGTGTGCATAATAAATAAAACAAAAAAAATAAAAGGTAAACTATGCAAACCGTGTGCAATCCGTGTATAAAGCGCGGATTAGGGTTACGCGCAACCGAAATATTAAATTTAAATGGTGAAAAGCAGAGTGTGGGGTTCGGGTGGGAGGCAAAGACCTGTTGATAAGAACCAAAGATACTTGTCCACCTGCCTACCTTTTGTGTTTGAGATAGAGTATATAACACAACTCACAACTATATAACCACTTTATATACTACTTAATTTACAAAACCAATCATTACATAATCTAATTATTTTTATAATAACAGGTGCACTGAATGGTTTGAGTTGCTACAGTGTCCGGAAGAATATATATATATATATATATATAATACTTATTAAGCGGGGAAGAAGTATGTATATAAGACTTTGTTTGGATATACAGGTAAAAAATATATATAGAAATGATAATATTAGTTATGATTAAAAAGATTATAAAAATAAAAAATAAATTTTTTATTATAGAATTATTGTTTGAAATACAACCAAATTAATAGTGTAATTATATACTTTTATATGATGAGACTCAAGTGCCATTAGAGATGCACACGGTTCATTGGACAAGTGTAAAAATATTTTGGAATTAAATCGTTCATAAGGGTTATGGAACTGAACCGTGAAATCGAACCGAACTAAACCATTTTCCCACGGTTTGGTTTGATTTTGTTCCATTGGTTTTACGGTTCTAGACTTTTTTATAATTCAATCTAATATATATATATATATAAAATTAAACATATATATAGTATATAATATGATTTCTATTATAATATAATTTTTTAAAATTAAACATATATATAGTATATAATATGATTTCTATTATAATATAATTTTTTATTATATATTATGATATATAATATATATATATATATATATATATAAAATTAAACATATATATAGTATATAATATGATTTCTATTATAATATAATTTTTTATTATATATTATGATATATAATTAAATGATTAAAAGACTAATTTTATTATTCTATTATTTATATAATACAAAATATATATCCAATTTATAAAACGATTCCATTTGATTTGGTCTTGTACAACCTCAACCCTCTAAAAAAATCAATAGCCCTCCTAAATCATTACCTAAAAAGTTTTTGGAAAAAAATCAAAGCTCTCACCAATTCCAGCATAGAGGATGTTACTGTCATCATACTGACTTAGTTGTGGGAAGTTTCCTGGGTGCAGTGGAGGAGAATATAAGTCAGAAATTTTGAATTGAAGTGATGTAAAGTGTGATAGATACTACTCAAGATCAAAATAATAATAATAATAATAATAGTAAAAATGACTGATACACACAATACTCCGGAACCCATTCCCATATGATTTCATCTTTCTTTTTTTCTTTTTTTTACTTGAAAAACACACACACACACACACACACACTCATGTAGAAATCCTTACATATAGATTTACAAAGAAAGTAAAATCAAAATTTTCTTAATGGCCATAAACCATAACATATCAACATGTCAAGTTGCATTATGAAAAATCAATTGCAATAGACTAATGGAGAAATATTCCCAACTTGACAATATTCACTATCATGCATTGCACATGGATCTCTCTTTTCGTTCCTTCAGGCCATTCTTTTCTTCATGTACGCACCATAAAGTTAGCAGATTTCATTTCACAACTTGTCATGACCTATGGCTTCATCAAGACCTTCATGGACAAAAGATCTCACTCCTTAAGAGCAAATAGAAAGAGATTCTTTAACCAGAAAGAATTCGGTTCAGATGTAGGATACCTATCCAGAAGTTTTTGCAACTCAATTATAAATGATGGAATCATCAAAGATTCGACCTTTTCGAACTCTGTCTGTAGCTCCCTAAAGGCCAGGGAAACAAAGAGAAGATGTGTACGACCGAGATATCCAGTAACAAGGAGGAGGAAAAGGATTGAATAGAGGAAGCAATAATCCCTCTCTTGTACAATTTATCACCATGAGCTTTTCTAAGCAATAATCCCTCTCTTGTACAATTTATCACCACCTTCTGCAGCAGAATAATTCAACGCCGGTTGCCTCTGAATATGATCCTCTCCATCAGATGCCATCACCGCCTTGGCATTCCAATACCAAGGTCGAAGATGAGGCGAAGAAGTAAATGGAGAGCACGAAGACGGGTGAAGAATAACCGATCCCCAGTCTCTAGTTCCGAGCTTTGCTTCCTTCACTCTCCTCCTAATCAACAAGCTTCCCACATCTTCCTTTTTCATCTCTGATACACTTCTTAGTATTGAAATGCATAGAAGTAGCACGAAAACTGCATCCTCCTCCGGTAAGAATTCCACCACCAATAGTTTCCAATTTATTAGAGCTGTTGCTTTTCCAGTTGGATTGTCTTCTGAGGTCCGTACAAGCGTCACAAAGCCCTCTTCATCTTCGTTGTCTTCTTCCCTTTCTTCTGCACTTTCTTTGTTTTCCTCGTCTTCTTTAACCTCAGAACCAAACTTCTTAGCTTTATACTGCATTTTCCGCCCTTTCAACAACTTCACCTGTGAAAATTGATTTTTTTTTTTTTTTTTGAAGATATATTCATGAGAAGGTATATAACAATACCAAAAAAATCAAAACAAAACAAAAAAAAAAAAAAAAAAACCAAAGAAAATAAAATTCTTAAGGAATTGAAATTGGATATTTACACCTTACAGTTGAATCAGGAGATGTTTGATTCTTTAAGGAAAATCTCAGCCCCGATACCAATGTTGACAATTCCCATTGTATCATCAGTTCATCACCGGTTGAAAAGTACCATGAAGCATTCCAATGTTCTGATGCCTCTCTAGGTATTGCTGTTCCTACCACTCTCTCTGTACTAGATGATGAATACAACCATAAAAACAAATCGTTACGAATCTGATTAGATATGGGTGCATGTGAGAATTCAAAAAGCCAAAACAAAAGGCACAAATACTTTTCCCACCAAGGATATATAAATATCAACATTAGTAGGAGCAGTTCATCCACAAGGGATTTCCCTTTAAAAAAGAGAATTTTGAAATACATTTTCCTTGGGTGTTTCTTCTCTCTCATAAATGTCATAGAACCTTTTTACAAAAAAATGGTTTCTCCTAATCCACTTGATTACCGAGAAAATATTGGAAGTAAAAAGAAAATAAGAAATGAAAATTGTGAATCTTAAATATTTCATAAATTTGGACTTCCGGGACGAAAACCTTTCACCAGCAATGCTAAATTTATCTATGTCATATAGTGACTGCAAATGTGTGTGAACCAGTGTGTATTCATATTGCAACATAACATCTAAAATAAAAAATAAAAAGAAAAAAATCCAGCAACATACCAGGAGCTCTACCGATGGAACCAGCAACATATGACCAACCACCTTCACGTATCTCTATAATCCTATCCTCCCACTTGACCACCAATGGAGTTTCACCACCTCTTCTCCAGAAGCCCCCTCCCACCCTATCCATTGTGTGCAGAATATTCGTTACAAAAAAAAACACCCACTAAAATCTCAAAATGAGAACATTCAAAAGAAGACTGTTATTTCTCAAGGAACGGAGACAATGTAGCAAATATTTACCTCATTCGAACAACAAAACACTCTCTGCTTGCATGATCCAGCACAGTACGAGACAACCATCGACCTTCTTGAGGCCGATACTGGTTCATCCTCAGAATCACATCCGATATCATGGCCCCAGAATCATCTGTGACCCGGTCCGGAACACATTTCAACAAATAGGATGCTTGAGCAGGTGGAGTAATCGAAGTGACAGCCCTCACTGATTCATTGACCTGTCTTTCCAGAGAAAGCGAAGGTGCTCGTAGTAAATCATTCCAAAGAAATGTTACAGTATCTCGCAAGCTACTTCCTCTGAAAAAGAAGCCACCGTGGTGGCGAAGCTCGAGTACAACTCCTCTAGTTCCAAACTCACAGTAGAGATGCCAAGCTTTTTGCCATGATTCCAAGGGGAAGTTGGATAACAATTTATCAATCTTGAGCTCCCTGTGACATCTTACCACCCGAAGACGCAGAAAGTCATGTGATATATCCTCTTGAGTTGGCTTCATCTTTGAATTAAGCTTCACAGTCACACAGACCTGTGTGTAAATTCACACCCTAGTACATTATGGTCATTCATCGAAGGAGTGCTAGATGCAAATAATTTTAGTTCAGTCACGGCTTGAATTGCATCATGAAAGAACAAAGAACAAGGATTTTATTACATATGGAAATTAAGTACAAAAAAGAGCCAGCTCGATTTTATTATTTTCAGTCCAATTTCTCAATATCCTATTAAGTATAAGTTTTTGTTAATGTTGTGAGCACAGGGCATTAGAGGCTATTTATTACCCACATTTGAGCCACACCAATTGTGGGCTTCTATTATTCTTTCACTTAAATGAAGAACTAATACCAAATAACCTTCGCATCAATCTGATTTATTGAGCAACAAATTTCACAATAGACCACAAAGTTGAGTGGAAAAGGGGTTGCTATATCCACAGCCAATATGGCTGTATCTACAGCCCAGTAAGCCCACTCTCTGAGACGTAGGTGTTCGGGACCCACACATGAGACATAGGAGGCTTCAGGTGCAGCCATATAACATTGACTGCAGAAATAGCAAAAAATCTGAACCAATCATGTATGGCTCTATCCACTTGGTAGATACGCACAAAATTGTAATGTGAGTCGCTAAGAGTGGATCCAATCACTTGTCATGCTAAGTTGCTAATATGGTATTTCTAGATTGAGGATAATAGTGATAAGTCACTTTAGAGGAGCTATGGATCTGAAAGTACAAGGTCCACTTAGGAGGAGCTAAACTCCATGCAGTTGTTCTTTGCTTCAGTGGTATCTATTTATTGTCATATGTTTTATACAGCCGATAGACAACACTTTCTCGTTTACCACATTGAAGTAGCCACACACGAAGGTGAAACCACACACGATCCATCTGTAATGTCAAATCAATCAAATGACATCGATCCTTGTGTTAGATCAATCATAGGTGAAACCACAAAAGAAGAATGGCAAGTAAATGTGTCCACTATACTGCGCTCGGGTATTGTGTTAGGTTAAGTTCTTCCTATTTAATTTTGTTTTATTAAAAAAAAAAAATGACTGTGTTAAAAAATGCCAAAATTCCAACTGACCTCAAGTAAGAACCTGGGCACCATGGACTTGTATTTAGTGTTCACATCAGACTCCATGACCTCCCAGGAAAACCATGGCTTGACCTGACCAAGCCCCCCATTGGCTGCACCCCCAGCTTTCTCATATGGTTGATCAAAGACTCTCTCCCACAGCTTCTTCGTCTCCTCCACCTCTCCTTCCTTAACAGCTTCCCCTAGTCCCACCACCTTTCCCATATCCTCATCAATCTCCTCCAAATCTGCTGCGTATACTGTAGGATAGCTCTAATCCATCAAACATAAAACCAAGATAAATGAGAGAAGTTCATCAACATATAATATACCATATGCATACAAAACATATATGTGTGTGTGTGTGTGTGTGTGTGTGTGTATATATATTCTATATGAAAGGAGGATCTTAATTCATGTAGTGTCACATGTACAGTTCATTAGATTCTTATGCCATGTTAAGATTATAGAAAACAAATGTTATATTCAGTCTACTAAGAGGTAGCCTTATCTAATAATTTGGTTAAATTACCTTTACCATATAAAATTTCCCTCTTGAAATAATTAAAAACATGTTCACCATCCATTAAATTTTATGAGACTGCTGATTAGAACCATCTGAATAAACTAACTTTTATGTAATTCATCTGCTAATGCATTGTTTCTAGTTATTTTTCTAGCACTGACACGGGATAATTTCTCTGATTTCACTCTGTCAAGACCCACAGGACTTTATGAAGCCTAACACAAATCAAAATTTATATATATAGTTGGACCTTTTGTGTCCAACTGACTAAGCTGATTTGATATGGCAAGCAATGACTAGGGATGTCAATGGGCCAGGTATGAAGTGCCATATTCCAAATCTCAGTTCCACCAAAAAACCAAAAAAAAAAAATTAATAATTCTGTTAACTTTAAGACTACATATCCAAAAGATCATATATATATATATATATATATATATATATATATATATATATATATATAAAATAAAATAAATTAAATAAATATGTATCAATGTATTTTTTAAAAAACTAAATGGGACGAGTTCAAACTTCAAATTGAAATGAGTTCTAATTCTCATTCCCAAATCCTCTTCTAAACCAATTGTTGATTATTAGAGATAGAGTGACAGAGACAGAGATATAATATGAAAGAATATGTTGAATTGATATGAATGATAGTGATACAAAGGGATATAAATAGGCTTAACATTACAACGGCTAAAAACGGCTAGAATATAATATATATTATTATATGTTAACATCCCCCCTCAAACTCAAGGTGGTAGAGTAGAAACCAACTTGAGTTTGGAGAGAAAACCTGGAGCGGAAGGCGATACCGGAGTTGTGAAGATCCGATACGTTGAGGTGCTTAGGGCAAGTGTGGTAGCCTTGAGAGAGCTCTTGAAAGCTAATATTTGAGTGGAATCATAGAGTGGAATTTACCACTTGAGAGAAGCACGGATGCGTATGACAGAGCGGGATTACCGCTTGATAGAGTGGTATAACCACTTGAGATGCGCACAAGCCCATAAAAACCACTTATACGGCAAATGTGGTAGCCATGAGCTCTTGAAAGCTAATATTTGAGTGGAATCATAGAGTGGAATTTACCACTTGAGGTGACGAAAGTGTAAAGTTTCGACACGTTTAGAGTGCTTAGGAGCACAGCGAGAGTGGGATTACCACTTGAGGTGCTTGGGAGCACATTGAGAGTGGGATTACCACTTGAGGTGCACTAAGGCACATAGAGCACTTGGAAGCGCGTGATAGAAACGTCGATGACAGGGCGCTTGGAAGCGCATGATAGAGCCAGATCAATGCTGAGAAACTAGGCGGACTGTACTCCAGAAACTGGAACTAGTCGGAATACGCCCCCTCAAGTTCTAGAGGGATATCAGGAGCACCTAGAACTTGAATCTGAAACTGGGCCAAGGCTGAACTGAACAAGGCCGAAAATTGATCTGGGCTGGATGCTAAACTGGGCCGTTTTGCAAACAGGGTTTGGAACGGTCAAGTAAACATATATATATATATATATATATATATATATATATATATATATATATTTGTCAAGTGATGATGCTGTCGGTGGAGCATGGTGTGGAGGGGTCCACAGGGCCTTTGTGCTTTTCTTTTTCTCCAAGGGATAGCCTGCCTTAGAGATGCTCACTTCTCTCTTTTCTTTCTCCAAGAACAAACTGGCAGACATATGCAATATATAACACACATGTTAATAGTATGAGGTGTTTGAATATATATATATATATTTATAGAGAGAGATTTGAGAGGTCTGTCGGCAGAAAATAACAATATGAGGTGCATATATATAGATATATAAATTTAGAGAGAGTGTGTGAGGGTTGCGGACAGAGCTATATAGAGAGAGAAAGAGAATTGGTTTAGAGAGAGAAAGTGAGATGGGTGATGACTTTGTCAACCAGGGAGGTGAAGGTGAAGGAGAGGAGCCGAGATCGACCGTAGTAGAAAAAGGTGAGGTGACAGATGAAATCCGATCTCTGGTCCGATCGTGAGGGGCGGTGCGAGCTTGGGGATTGGAGATGGTGGTTGTTGTAGAGCCGATCCGGTGGCGGCGGATCTGGCAAAAACAGGGAGGAGTTGGCTGTTTGTGAGGATGTTGGTGGCGCCGGCGAAGAGGGAGATGGCTGGGTCCAATCTGGCTGTTGAAGATGACGAAAGGTGATGTAGGCTACACCACCAGGGTGCGGGTGCGAGATATGCCGCCGTAGATCTCGAATCGGGGAGATTCCAATGACAATGACGGTCGTGAGCGACTTGGCGATGGAATTCCTCGGCCGATCGTCGTCGGCAGGCGAAATCGGGCTGTGGAGTGGGCAGAGGGCGACGCCGTGACAGGCACTCACATAGCCGCGCTTCTTGCGGTTCTTCTTGAAGCGGGTTGTCATTTTCTCTCCCTACAAGAGCCTCCGGGGGTTGCTACTACTGTGTGAGGACTTCTATGGAGCGGCGGCATCAGAGATGACTTGGGGCAGATAGCGCGGAACAGCGGTGATCTCGGCTAGTGGTGGCGGCTGGTTCGACCTGAACAGCGGTGACCTTGGCTGGTGGTGGCGGCTGGTTGCACCAGCGATGAGCAGATAGTTGATTCAGCAGTGGGTGGCGCCGAGCTTGATGACAAAGGAGAGCAGTGGTGTGATGATCGGTGGCAGGGATTTCCGATGGCAGAGATGACGGTGGAGATGGACAAGGACGGCAAATGAGATCTCTGGTCCAGCGGTGAGACACGCGTGAACGCGCGTTCGATCTATGGCGCGGCAGTGACAGAAGGTTTTGGACATTGTGTGATCGGCTAAACAGAGGGTCAAACTAGCTGGTGAGATGATTCCAGAAGCGAAGGAATGGTGGAGATCAGAAAGAAAATCAAAGATGAGCAGAAGCAAAAGCAGAGGTTGGTTTAATTGAGGACCTTGGACCGCCGTCGGAGATGAGGCTCATGCCGACATCTTCGGCGGTGGCTCTGATACCATGTTGATTATCAGAGATAGAGTGACAGAGACAAAGATATAATATGAAAGAATATGTTGAATTGATATGAATGATAGTGATACAAAGGGATATAAATAGGCTTAACATTACAACGGCTATAAACGGCTAGAATATAATATATATTATTATATGTTAACACCAATTACTATGAAGAGGAATGCCAGCCACAGTCATCAAGCAATTGTGGCAAGCCATTCAACTCACCATTCTTTTGATGAAAAACAATTCTCTCTCTTTACAATAAATGTTGATGATTTTTTCATCTTAAAAGAAGGCCTTTCTAGTTTCAAGAGACTTAATATTGGTGTCACTAAAAAAAAAGCCTCACCTATCTATTACACGTCCAGCCCATTCAACATTTCCCTCACACAGTCACACCCACTCTTTCTCCCAGTCTACTCTAAATATAATAAAAATTTCACAGTGATTATATGAATGATTAAAGTTAATAATATAAAATATATAATACATTAATATAATGAATATTAATCATATAACGGGAGATAATATTCACAGTTCACTTTTCTTCACTTGCACTTAAGACATAATTGGCCTTCAAAAACACTCACACACCACAATTATTACAAAAAGTACTCTTCCAGTTCGAGGGACAATTATGTCTATCACTTTTTAAAAAATTCAAGTAGAGTACAAATAGAGAAAAGTGGATTGTCAATGTCTTTCACCTTTAGATGATATTTGTCCTCCATCAAAATAATTCGCATTCCACTTGATTTTTTAATAAAAAATGATAAGACTTACATGATTATAAGAGTAATTTTTAGAATAATTGTGAAGTGTGTGTCTTTTGAGGGATATTTATAAATTACACATAAATTTTCTTTCATGTCAATTAACTAATTAAGTGTGTGATCCTTTTATGGTATGCAAATATTATATCACTAACTTATTTTACTTTAAATTTTCTCTTTTATTTTCTACTTCAATTTTTTTATTAAATACAACCATCTCATTATTATTTCATTTAGATAACTTTTCTCCATAAATAATGTTGAGGGAAAATATCATATCTCATAATTATATTCATTATATTAATGTCCTAACAATACTTTAATTATAACCATCTACTTTCTTTTTCTTTTTAGCTTATTACTTAATGGATGTTGTTCCTTTTATACAAATTTCAGTTTTATTAAAGTGATTATTTGACTATTTGATTGACATTAATAGTAAATCTCATCAAACTGGAAGGATTTTTAAAAATCATCAGAGATTATTGTAAAAAAGAGTTCGTTTTCTAACTTTAGTACATGTGTCAAGAAAGAGGAGGATGAGTAACCTCAAGACTGCCACAGTCGCCACACGACTTTGGGTAATCATCCCTCCTAGAATAAAGTCAAACCTGTCTCACTCGGGTTCTAGTTTCTACAGGTCAAATTAACAGACCTGACAATGACTCTTTTTATGTAGAAAAATGCTATGTCAAGTGACCTCGCGATGAACTCGTTTCCCTCCATCATTATTCTAATAAATGAAAACACGAACTTACTGTGAGGATGCCCTTACCTTATCCTAGACTTGCTCTTTTATCTAAACCACTTTCTCTGTTATGTCACTTACCTCTATTATTTTTTCCCAACTTATTTGCTTAAAAAAATAATAATAACTCCTTAATGTATAGTGATATTTTCATATTGGGGTGAAGGGAAAAAAAAACAATTGTGAAATATGAGGGGTAGAACTGGTCAAAAGGCAACAAACACCAACGTAATGAGTCAACCACATTAGCCCTCCATCCCTCTTACTAGTATGAAACCAAACCCATCTCATTAGGGGCGGCTTCCCAGTGCACGAGTCAAATTGACATCACTGTTTTTACATAGAAACATGTCATGATAAGCGACCATTCCTCATCTATTGCATCAAATGTCATCATTAGTTGATTTAGTATATGAAAGTCAGTTGATCCAATAAATGAGTGTGTGAATTCACCCTAAAGATGCTCTTATCATAGACTTGCTCTCAATTTTGTTTTTTCCATGTTTTATTTGCTCCAAGAAAGAAGAAGAAGATCTTAATATCTAGTAATATTCTCATATTAAAAAACAATAGTGAATATCAGAATTAGATCGACAAATGCTAAGTACTTTCGAAACAGTCACAACTGCACAATCTCAGCCCTTGAATCTATGGATCTCGCTGCGAGACTGAGATCCAAAGGCTGAACTTGCACAGTCGCAACAGTCGTAACAGTGCATAGCATAGCATAGCTCGAGGTAGAACTAGTCAAGAAAACAACACACCAACCTAATGGGTCAACCACATTAACATTCATCCCTCCTACTAGTATGAAACCAAACCCATCCCATTAGGGGTAGCATCCCAATGAAAGGTCAAACTAACATGATTGTTTTTACTTAGAAAAATGTTATGATACCCTACCCTTCGTCATCTATTGGATTGATTTAAATATTTAATATGCCAAAGTCAATTGATGGAGTGCCAATTCAACCTAAAGATGGAATTCTCACATGCTAGCATTTTTATCTTTGGAAGTCCTTACTGCTACTACTGATGTGGCACAAGATAACAGTGTAATTTTTTAAATTTTTTAAATATAAAAGAAAGAAAAAAATTCTCTCTATTATATTAAAATTTCAAAAATAGACACTTGTTATCTTGTGATTGTGCTAATTATCAATAAAGAGAATTAGAGAAGGTTCCCAAAGTTTTATTTTTATTTTTATTTTCTTGATGCATATAAATATTAAAAACAAAACAACTGTGAAATATCAAGGTAGTAGAGAACTAGACAATAAGACGACACACAAACCTGATGGGTCGACCACATCAGTAGAATATCCGAAGCAGGCACTAAACGAGAACAACCATCTCCATATCTCTGAATCATATGCAGGAACCCTTTGTATCTCTGCTTTGCCGTGATTATATATACTGTTTCTGTCATGTATGGCTCAGAGAACTTTGAATAAAGACCTTGGTGGTTTGACACCTTGTCCAAAAGATCTTGATTTGTAACAATTGAGTCTTGGGGATCATCCGAATCCAACTCATTTTCGAATGGCTCAGATGGGTATTTACGGACCCAAATTTCTCTGCATCTATTATATGCATACTCTTGATTCTCTTCGTCGAAGATGGTCGGTTTTCCGATGAGTTTTGAGAACCTTGACTCACAGTATTCCCGGTAACTGACCTGAAAATTTGAGTGTTTCAGCACTTCGGATAATATCGATGCATTCCCCTGAGTTCTACATTCTGTTTGGTTCTCGAGAAAAATAGGGAAGAAAAGAAAATAAAAGAAATGACAGAAAATAAACCCTCAACTATCCCGATTTCGTATAAGAATCCAGAACTTTCAAATAAATTTTTTTTTTTGGGATAAATAGAACTTTCATTTTTTCACAAAACTCCCTGGACTTTCATTTTTGCACAAAAACTTCCTTACATCATTTAGCAATTTGCAGATACCATCCTACCATTTGCAATAATGAAGGAAAATTGACATTTTTAGACATGAAAATTCCATAATTGGAACAACTCCTAGTATTTTACTGTGAGTGAAGTTTGACATCCCGTGGTAACCTACCCACATATTATCCATATTTCGTATCATAGCCCTAATATATAAATTGTCGTTAAGGTTTTTTTGCCATGTTTACTCATTTTTTATTCCTTCAGGGATAAATTGGTAAATTATATATATATATGCATATATATATTAACAAGCTGAGGTAAGTTGCAATTTTTAAATAATTGAAGAATTAGTTGCTTAATATTTGCAGAAGCATGAAAGATAAGGGAATTTTTTTTTCCCCCTTCTTCAGTTAACTTAGGCTTCGTTTGGTTGGAGAGATTTAGAGGAATTTGGAGAGAAAAGAAAGGAAAGAATAGTAACGAGTGTGCTTGAATGAAAAGCTTCAGTTAACTTAGGCTTCGTTTGGTTGGAGGGATTTAGAGGAATTTGGAGAGAAAAGAAAGGAAAGAATAGTAACGAGTGTGCTTGAATGAAAAGAATATGAGAGAAAAAAAAGAATTTGGAGAGATAGCATTTGGAATCCTTCCAAAATTGACAAGATTTTAAAAGATTTGATTACAAAAGCAACATCAAGAGAAGAGTAAGCTTGGTCGTATAAAGGATAAAATGATAAATTATTCCTTCTTTTTTTTCTTTTTGATTTATCCGAACAATAATATTACCCATTCTTTTATTTTCTCTCGCATCAATCTAAACATAAATATTATTATATCTGTCATTTTTTTTCTTTTTCTTTTTTTTTTTTTCTTTTCTTTTTTCTCCTTTAATAATTCTTTCTTTTCTTTTCTTTTCTCTTCTCTTCACTTATAATTCGTCTTATATAAAAAATAAAAATAAAAATAAAATTTGAAAAAATTAATTAAAAAAAAAGAGTAATGTGATTTTCCTTTCTTACATTTTCTCATCAGCCAAACAGAGAAACCAGACAGCTTACCGGATTCATGGTATGACAGTACCAAACCCATTCAATATCAAGCGGGGGAATAATCAACGGTGGATTTGGCCCCACAGTAAGCTCAGACATCAACGGCATCCACAGCTCCTCATACCTGCAAGAAACACGACGATTCAGCAATGATACATACCCCCAACATCCACTGTCTGATCAGATGACCCTGAAATTGATCAAATAAGGAGTGAAAATTATGACCTTCGTACAGCTTCAGTAATAGTGGGTCTGTTATGGAGCCAGCAGTGGGACTCAGCGACCAGTCTCAGAAATCCGACGTGTCGTCTGGTTGCGGCGACCAGATCTATGCTCACTCGCACCGTTTCCTCCTCCGTTATCTCTCTCAAGTTACCGATTGACTTGCCATCAAAAGCGCCGTCACCGTTACGGATCGCTGACATTGCTGTGCTGATTCAGGGACCTATACAACAAGAGTTTGATGAAGATCATATATATATATATATATATATAAGACTCTGTATATGTGTATATATATCACAGATTGCTAGCTCAAGAACATGGTTTCAGGCTTTCAGCTGGTGAATATGTTCTGTTTAGGCACAGTTTATATAATATTATATATATATATGCGCACATATATAGATATACAGTATAGAGAAGGGCTGCTTTAAGGTGGGAATTTGCACGTGGCACTTTGTATCAACTCTCTGGTGGAGGTGTCTGTCCTAGAAGAAGTAGGGCCATTGGATAGCACTACGACTCTGTTGGTATTAAATTAAATCCAAAATTAAAGAATACTAATATTTTAGGATCGGATTGGAACAGGTATAATCTATCCCAAAAAATAGTGAATTTAATTTAATAAGAGAATGTCTCTCTCGATTTATTTTTTATTTTTATTACTACTTGGTATTATTTAATTAACTAACATGTCAATTGCTCAAATTCTTATTTTTCAAAGAAAGGTCAAAAATTTAAGTTTAAGTGAAAACATGCGAGTAACATCTAAAAAAGATTAGTTTTTTTATTTTGTTGGAGAACCCAAAACATGAATTTCAAGTAGGGGTGTAACTTGGATTGGGTAACTCGAACTGAACTCGAGCCCTGCCTGATTTTTCACGAACTTGGGCACTCATTTTTACAATTAGGATTGAGTTTGGGTTGAAGTGCTAGCAACCTGAGTCAACTCGAATCCGAATTTTAATATTATTTTTATATATATTTTTACTTTTAAATATATTATATATAATATTTAAATTATAATTACTTTTTTTCTTTTCAACTATTTTTGTTAAATCTTAACTTATTGTATGTTAACATTTAGGATAATTAATTTTTTAAAAATTATTTGTAATTTATTAAAAATTTACAAAAAAAGTTTTTAAACTTTTTCTTATTTAAGAATAATTTAATTTAAAACTAATTTAAGATCATATTAAATTTTTGGTGTAAAAATTATCCATATGAGATACTCGAATTAGCCCGAACTTTTTACCCGAAATTTAAGTCCGAATTTAAAAGTAGAAGGATGTGTTGGACTTGGGTTGAGTAGTTAAGATTGATGATAGAATTAGAGTTGTGTTTGGGTCTGAGTTTGGATTTTCATACGATGAGTTGAGTTCAAATTATACTTCAAATCCATTCAACCCGCCTGAGTTACGAACCTAATTTAAGGTACTATTGGATTTCTAACAGTTAAGAAATAACTATTTTGCTGAATGGACAGGGGTTTAAACAGTATTACCTAACCGTTTTACCTTTTGAAGAAGATGACAGATGTTTTTAATATGTACGAGTGGTCTCGGAGCTGACCCAATTAATTCGGAATGTTAAAATATATATATATATATATATCATACAAATAACTCTCACAATAGGGTTGAATCCTCTCTCTTTATTTTAAAAGATATTAATTAATTGACTTGAGATGTTCTAAATATGAGTGTCCTAAGATATTCCATGGACAACCTCCAGAGAAGAAAAAGAAGAGAAAAAAGGGAAAGGAAATTATATATATATATATATATATATATATATATATATATATATATATATATATATATGTGTGTGTGTGTGTGTGGGGGGGGGGCAACAAAGAGGTTTTCTTATCTTTTTTTCCTGGCACAAGGATGTTGGATTTTAAAAAAAATTCAAATTTTTTTTTGTTTTTAACTCACCCCAGATACAATTTTTTTTACGTGGCAACAAATTGGTATCAGCTACCGAATCTACAATTCTCATTGGACTCAGTACACCAATTAAGCTATCAATTAAGCTATCAACTCACCCCGATACAATTACTTAGTTTTTAAAATTATGTTTAGTGACAATAAAAAAAATATTGTTTTTATTTTTGAATCTATAATCTCATTAGACTCAGTACCTTATACCAATTAAGCTATCCAACTCACCCCAATACAATTACTTAGTTTTTAGAATTATGTTTAGTGACAATACAAAAAATATTGTTTTTATTTTTGAAAAAATAATACTTATTTAACCTCGCCCTTACAATTAATGTATTATTCATGTGGCATGTGTCACTTATAATAAAATAAAAAATAAAATAAAAAGTAATAATATTATTAGATTTTTATTTTTTTATAAAGTAAGAAGTATTAGAAATTAGATTAGTACATGCAGAGAGTCGAAACTTGACATTTTAAAGTTCACTAAAGGCACTATTTTACTGGACTATCTCGGGCATCTACTAATAATATTATCAGATGATCATGAATCATTTAACACATGACGGAAAAGTTCAATCCAGACAATTGTTAAGATTTATTTGTAATATATAGACTCTTGTAGGACATTTTCTCAATCAAAGAGTATGAATTGAATTGGTCTACTAACTATCAATGATAAGGATGGCAATAGGGCGTGTTTGGAGCGAGTTTCCCTAAATCCGGCCCCGCCCCGTTTAATTTTTGGCAAGTCCATGCATGTCCGCCCTGTTAACAATTTTTTTTCACAATTTTCTTGGCTCAGAAATTGATCTGGTGTCCCTCTCTGTCTTTTACAATTTTCTTGGTTGAATAATAGCCCAAACAAAAAAAGATGATGAATAGATCAATCACTCTGCCTCTGCCTGAGAAGAATAGACCAAATAAATTATAAAATAAGAGATATAATATATATATATATATATATATATATATATATATAAGGGAGAAGAAGAACTGAAGAATAATAGATCTACCTGCGTGAGTGCGTCGATCTACCCGAGAAAGAGAAACAGAGACTGGTGAGGGAGAGAGGGATTGAAGTCGAGGGTTTGGTTTTTGAGTTTTGATTCTCTTTGTCTTCCTTGATGCGCCGCTCAGTTCACACATAAGGCTCAAGAAATTAGAATTGTAAGAAATGGGTAACTAGGTAAACCGGTAAAATAAGTTATTAATATTATACTTACATATATATATATATTAAATATAGTTTTATACTTGGCGGGGCGAGCCCTTGGCGGATATGTATAAGAACTTTTACTCGCCTCACGATCAGTGACGGGCACAAAATTTGTATTAATGCCCGTCCTAACGGTATAAAAGATGTTCCCATATCCGTTATTAACGGGGCGGTAAAAATTGCCACCCCTAATCAATAGTCATGGTTCATCTAATAATTTATTAAAGAATGCAAAGTTCGAACACAAACTCTCAAGTACGTTGTGCAATCTAACTATTTGGACAATGGGGTACATTCATCAATTAGATTCACTTAATTATGACTTTATTTAACAATCTAATAATTTTTTATCATAAGTTCATAACGTTGATTTTTTATAAATAAATAAATAAAAGTTTTATCAATAGACCTTTGATAACTGTCCAACTATTTTAAAATCTTTGAGATGTGTTGGAATGATCCAATAGGGGATGACTCCAAATTTTTGTATTCAATGAACTGGACCAATCAAAATGCTTCCTTCTTTAAATAAATTTCAACCAAAAAGATGAGCTAAAGTGACAGTGATGTTAGAGAAAAACCAAAACGAACTCACTCCAAAAAAAGAATCCAAGAAAATGAAAACTAATTATGATGTTTTTTTTTTTTTGGTTTCTTATTTGAACTTTGAAATATGTCCCCTTCAAGCCACGTGGTCCCACCCTAGAAAGATCAAACCACGTTATCTATAAGGGACTACATGCTTCTTGTCTATTGCATATATACTCATTTCTTCCGTCAATATCGCCACTAGTAGTGCACTAGATTTGTAATTGTTGGAGTTGAAAAATTACAGTGAATTATCTAATAGAATAATTTTAATTATTTATTTATATAAAATACAAATAATTGAAAGTTCACTTTCTCATTTATTATATAAATGATTAACTAATTTATAATTAGTGTAAAATCATTTCCCTCTCTGCCCCTTACACCATTATGTTCATTATTTTTGACCCATTAACTTAGTAATTGTCCAGGTCAAAAAGTTGTAGCAAATTACTTAATCAAATAATTTTAATTAATAATTTATATAAAATACAAGTAATTGAAAGTTCACTTTCTTATTTATAAGTATAAATGACCAATTAAACTGCAACTAGTGTAAAAATTATTTCCCTTTCTGCCACTTACACCATTAGTTCTTTATTTTTGACCCATTAACTTAGTATAAATAAATAATTCAAAAGATCTAAACTTCATAACTTGTGCCACATTACCCTCTTATGATCTTATCAAACGCATATTTTCTTTTATTCCCTTTTTATATATATATATTTGGACAATGCAAGTTTTATTTAAATTTCAGGTGCAAAAGGTGTGAGATAAGACAAATTCGATAAATTGTTTTTTAGCTTTCATTAAACATTTGTTTTGACTAATATGATCTTACAAATCTTGGTTGAATAAAATAAATGGTTGATCAATGTCATTTTTTATATAAAAATAAAAAAAAATAATCCTTAGTTTTAAGTAAAGCTTGCCATTTTCCATGGGAATATCATGTCAACAATTGAGGATGAGTTCATAATATTAGAATGCAAGTGAAGGATCAGATCCACCATATAGTACAATTTAAATTAAAGATTAATCACATTACATTAGCAAAAAGAAATAGAAAAAAACAAACACTAATTTAATGTGGCATTGGCATTCCCCGGGAATTTGATCATACTTGCACAAGCGGCTTAAACTTTGAGTAGGATCCGCAGCTCAGCCTTAGTCGAGCAATCAATAAGGTAGATCGCGATACAACACTACAACACCATTTTAAATTAAAAATGCAACACCTTTACCTCATTGATAAATTCTCGATTCTATTTAGCCCTAAAAATAGAAAACACCAACAAGAAAGGTTTTACTAAAACAATTACTTACTATGTCATAAAGGGTTAATGCTCACATCTTTGTCACATTTTTCCCTAAATTTAACTCTTGATTTTCATTTTAATCCGAGTTAAAAAGAACAAAAGACTGATTAATTTTGCTTTAGATTTGGGATAAGAAGAATATTAATTTAAAATTAACTAAATTAACTTCTAAGAAGATATAAAAATTGAACCACAAATTCGCAAATCATGAGTTGGGGACCTTAACCATTTTGCCAAGCTATATTGAAATAAAATCTTTATGATAAACAATTTAGGAGGAATCAATAAAAGAACATCAAACATCAACTGAATTGAGATTGATCAAGAATTCTCACTATTTCTTAGATTTCTGTTGTTTGGTTGACCAATGACCTTTATTTAAAGAGTTTAAAAGTAATTTAAAATAAAGCTTGCCATTTTCCATGGGAAAACAACTGAGTGAAGACAAACACACTATAACCAAAAAAAAAGTAACACTAATCTAACAAATCTGCATCAAAAAATAACATCCATGGATTTGTATATATTATATCAAGATGTAACACTACAACACCATTAAATCAAGAATGCAACACCTTACATAGTTGTTGCATTCTCCATTTAATGATGTTGTTTAATGTCACATTTTTGTCATTATTCTCGCACCTCTCAACTTAGCCCTATTTTTACCCAAATCCAAATACGTCCATGAACCTCAGCCACCAGATCTTGGTTGATATCATTGGACTTGGACTTGGACTTGGACTTGGACTTGGGCTTGGGGTCTTAGACAGATCCATACAAAAAAATACAACAAAACATATGATATGACCTTTATAATGCAATAAAGGATTTATAAATTTGCTTAAATTTTTTAAATAAAAAACTAATTTTCATTGGGAGACATCAAATTTCCAAAGAATGTGAAGTACAGAGATTAAAATTTTGACAATTAATGAATTTATAATTGATTTAACTTTAAAACATCGATGGTGCAAAAGTTTTCTAAGTAATTAACTAAAAAAAATTCAACAAATATCACAATCCAATATGACATGAATAACAAAAAGAAATATGAAACAAAATTAAGAAGAAAAAGAAATTAAAAATTAAAGTAATTGAAAACAGAGAGCTCCCTCAGAAAATCATAAAGAAGAATATTTCAATCAGGGATTGATCAGTATTAGCATGGTTAGAATTCAAACATCATAGGGAACATCAAGCACAAATTAATAATATATACTTATAATATATATATTTAAATATAATATAAATTATAAATCAAGATCAAATAATATGAAAAAAATGGGTAAAGCTCAGATAGATGTGAGATGGAGTATTTTCCCTGACCTTCAAATTAAAGGTCTCATAATGAGCTGGGATTGTCATGTATCATCATAGCATCACCCCCACAAAAAACATACGTATATGTGTGTGTATATATAGATATATGTGCAAAAAATACACATATGTGCAGATATATATATATATATATATATATATATATATATATACAAACTACATCTATGAAATCATGAAGGGAAAGATCTGAATGATTTATATATGAATAAGAATCAAAACATGATATCTGTATATATATAGACAGAGAAAGAGAGAAAAGGGCAGAGACTCACATAGATCGACAGATCGAGAGTCTAATAAATAAAGGAGGAGAGAGTCTAGGGTTAGGGTTTATCACGGCTGCACGCTAATGTGGTTAGGTTGGGCCTGGACTTTGATATCTGGGCTTTTGCTTCTTCTTTTTTTATTATTATTTTACTATAGTAATGTTGAGCCTTTTATAGAACTCTATAATCCACCAGCAAATTACATGCATTCCCTCCGTTCCAAATGCTCCAAGCAATTTAGAAAATTTTATAAAGAAATTCGAACTTGCCAATCATGTGGATTTCTACTTCTATATATGAGATATTATATAGGAAAATATTTAGGAGTAGTGAGTGAGGAAGAAATAATTTATATATATATATATGAATATGGTATGTGTACTCATATATGATAATTTGTAATATACAATAAATTTAGATGGTAGGTAAATGAATAAATTTGTAATCTAACAACTCAAGGTAAGTAACCTAACTTGAGATTGAAAGCAAAATCATGAAAGTTTATGAAATTTTGGTGTTGGATTATAGAGTTCTGTAAAAGGCTCAACAGCAAAATGATTAAGGGCCTGTTTGGTTGGGCTTCCTATAGCCTCAAAAAGAGTTTCTAAGCCCAGAAAATCCTTTGCCAATAATAAAGAAAAGTCTTAGTGGTTTAGAAATTCGATTGACCAATGTCAATAAAACATGTTTTTTGATCAATTTTCCTTATCCTATACATTTTTTAAAGTAATAAATATAAAATTCCTATATTGTCCATTATTTTACCTATTTCTATTTCTGAATTTCATTGCAAACTTTTATATTTCTCTTTCTTAATCATCTTCTTCGTTGGTTCTCTACTCAACAAATAAAAAAATAATAATAATAATGTTAAGCAAATTTCACAGAACTTTATTGAAAAAAATATTGTTGAAAAACGAGTCAACAAAAGAAGAACAAAGAGATTGAGGAGTTGCAGAAAAAACTTCTATTGACTCCTATTTGGCTTCAAAGTCTGAAGAGTTCCAAGATTTATGAACTCTCATCCAATATATATATATAAAGGCTACCCGTTCGTGTTATAAATAATAATAAAAATAAAATATTTTTGCTGTCATATCTCTCTTTCATTTTTTTTTTCTACATCTTTCAACTTCTATCATGTAGTTAAGGAAAAAAAAAAACTTCTACTATGTAAATCGGGTAAATTTGTATACTTGGATCTTCATTATGTCAATTAATCTTTGATATCACTTTATTTATTTTTTGTACATCTCAATTCAACTCTGTGGTATTATTCATAATTTTTTTAAGAATATAATTATCAACTTAAATTATACTAATAGTTAAAAGAACTTCAAAAAAATTTATTCACTAAATAAATTTTTTTATTTTAAATTTCTTTCATCAAAATACATTTCTTTAAAACCGATTCAAAAATAAAAAAAAATTAAAAGCTCCCTCACATAGGGCATGCGCCGTAAGAGTGGCTTTGAGCAATCGGTGCTTTTTGTCTCATACGGCTATTCGGTGCTTTTTGTCTCAAACGCCTATATATATATATATATATATTTTTTTTTTTTTTGGTTGGTTTTTTATGACAGTGCATTGAAACAAATCACCAATTTCTACTCAACTGGCGGCCCAAAAAAATATAGCCGTTTGAGACAAAAAGCACTAATTGCTCAAAGCCACACAAACTTTTTCCATTAAACCCATCCTAGCCCAACATTAGAGTGGAGGAAAAAATCTCCCCACCAATTAAAAGAAACCACGTCAACAAATGGGTTTTGCACTACTTTTTCAGCTTCCAAGGCTCAATATTCCAAGCCCAAAGAAGTCATCAATTGTATCTCAGCCCAATAATAAGGCAAGTCAGACCCGCAACACAAAAAATGGTATAAATAGAGGCATAGAACTCTAATCAAAGGGAGACATTGAATGGTAAATCTCTTCTTTGCATTGTTTTGGTGTATTGTTCTTATTCTTTTACTTTTCAAAGTTAATGAATTTTTGTACCTACAATTAAATTTTAATCTAACAATCAAAAGTTTCAAATATTTCTCACCATAAGAGAAGAAGAAAAACATTTACTTGGCTTTCTTCTTTTGGCTGGATTTCAGTCAATTAATCCGTTGTCCATTAATTCAAGTATTATGGTTAATGAATTTTGAAAATTTTCTTAATTGATGGCTATACACACACACACTATAGTAATATAAGAAGAGAGGGGGGAGGTTGAATTTTGTAATGTGAGTGAGATTAATTTTTGCAAGATAATTTAACGTGATATTTGACCAAACATGAGGGGGTAGCAGTGAAATTAACCCATCATTTCTTATATAAATTTGTATCATTCAAGTCTATAAAAAATATCATACAAAAAGGCATGTAAACCAATAGTATAACTTTTCCATTCTCAAAGAGGCCAAAGGACAACTATTATAACTTTTAGTTTCTCGTATAAATCTCCTTCCTTGACGGTGTTGAAGATTATTATTATTTTTTTTTTTATGTTCTCTGGTGAAATGTTCAAATCCATTGGCATCAATGAGCTATCCAAGAAAAGCAACTCATACTTGGACAAACCAGCAATGGACTATAGAATGCAACCTAATGTCTGTATTCTCTCTGTTAGAGCAGAGGAGTCATGATCACTTGCTTCAACCGTGCTCATACTCGAATATTATTTGGAAAATAAATAAATGTGGTTTCTGCACTAATCCAAACACATGGCAAGGCTTTCTCATATGGGTATCTTCAAATTGGAAGAGAAAAAGAAAGCCAGTAGAGTTTGATAGTGTGAAATTGCGGCTGTTCTTTGTCAAAAGGTGTAAATGATCATATGTTGAAACCATGGTTCTTTTTCAGTTATATATCCCTAAAATATTATTATTGGTTTCCATAAAAACACAAGCAGCTCTTCACTAAGAAATATTTTCATTTTCCATTGGACTCATGATTAAATTATATATGTGCAAACCATGATCTTATAAATTTGAATGAACAGACATTGATGCTACATGATATTTTTTTTTTTTTTTTTTTTTTTTTCTCGACGAACCGTAAAACAAACACACACATTCTACTCACACTTCGACCAAAGCCCCTCCCCTCCTCTTCAAGGATATAGGGAAGTTATAGCAAGGCCCTTTTGGCATTGCTATACAATTTTGATACCACTAACTAGTTAATTAAGAAAGAACACATTGATATTGTTACAAAATGCTCTTTAGTCACTCTCTTGTTTCAACGTAAAATATCTTTTTTAAAAAATATTTTCCTTTTTCAAGTATAAATAATATAGATATATATATTTTTATTTTCGGTATTTGACAAAGGTCCAGGCCGAATTCATCGGTAGGACGTATAAAATAACTTACAGAAAATTAATAGATAAATTATTCTGTTGGGTTTTAATATTTTTTCCTCGTAAATATTTTAAGACAACCAAACAACAAAAAAATTGAATAAAAAATTAAAAATATTTTACATTCAAACCAACTAATGGAGAAATATTTCATTTTTCAAAGAAATGACACATTAATACTGCTACAACTAGCTAGCGAGCTAGCTGGTTAGGACTTGGGTCTAACCTCAATGCCCTCAACAACAATCCCACCTTTCAAATGCTCACCTTTCACCTCCCTCAAACTCATCTTCACCTCCTTTTCACTCCCATCATTGTAGAACTCTCCCAGTTCAATCTCCAACCATCCATCTCTCCGTTCGCGGACTACCCTTTCTTCTTCCTCCTTCGAAAAACTCGGTCTCAACACTTCAATCCTCCTAGTGCCCCCCACAAATGGCCTGATCCTATCTTCGCGTGGACGTTTTAGACAAATCATTCCTTTCGAATGGTAGTCTCCGACTTCAACTGAAACCTCGGAGGGAATGGAGTCTAACCCGTGAGCTCGATCACAGATTTTGAGAATGAGATAGGCACCATATTTTGTGTTTGGTGACAACATTAGGGTATTTATATTGCCATGGATTTCTAGCCACCATATCAGTATAAGCTCAGCAACTTCAGCGAATCTGTTGGATATATCAATGGACATATAATTTAGTATAAATGAGTACTTGTCTGTATCCTAACACATTTGAGAATGCATTGAGAGTAGTGTTCCAAAGTCGTATACATTATGACATCATGTCTGCCATCACTTACATAAATAAGTTAGACTTATCCAACTTTCGGACTCCAAATCATTATCCTTCCACTAAAGCTTAAGCTTAGTCTAAGTGAGACAAATCACCTTCTTTTTCTTTTTTTTTCAATTAATGAAAGATTGAGAATTTGAGTCCTTCACGAATCAATATTGGATGGGTTTTTTTTTTTTTTTTTTTTTTTTTTTTCAAAAAAATATTTTATATATATATATATATATATATATATATATATATATATATATATATATTGAAGGTTGAAGCTAGACATCTTCATGAAGATGAGGAAAGCATTAAAAACAAACCTTGATTGGAGGAGGGGTTTCCAGCACCAATAGAGAGGATTGCTTCCCCATGTAATTGAAAGCTCCCTTGCACTCAACATGTATGACTTCTTACTCGTTGATTTGTCTATTGAGAAACTCTGTTTTTACCATAACAAAAAGTCAATACCACTAGCTATTACTATTAGCCATCAACGCATGAGATTTTTGAAACTTTTTCCAAACTTCTAATTCATGAAAGTCAAATTACTATTAGCCAAGTTGGAAGTCAAATTGACATCAGATTTGGTTAGTGCCAAAATCAATATATATTTTGATATATATATATAGATATATAGATATAGGCTCACTGTGAGTAGCCGCCACCATTGGCAACAAATCTATATAATTTCTGTATACGTATCTTGATATTTATCTCTTCTTGATATATATCATTTTCGGCTTAGGCTTTGACCTATATATGTGAAAACACCTATTAGTCCTTGTGGACTTTCATTCGTGCATTACTTAGTGAATATTTATAGTATTAAATACTTTTAAAAAAAATTCAAAATTTTAATAATGTCCCTATTAAAATTTTGGTAAAACATCACAATACAAGTTATCGTCACCAGTCACCCTCACTAAAATTTTCTTTATATATATAATGTATCTAATTTTTTTTTTTTTTTCTAATACGTCAGTTTGATAATAATTGAAATAAAAGAAATTTACCTCAAAAATAGTTGAAATGGAAATATGAACAGTTTTTAATTAAAATATATATCAATAAAGTTTGATTGGTTGTGTGTGTGTTCAAGAATGTTCTTTTGTGAGATTGCATCTTTTTTTGGATGGAAAATTGTGACTATGACATGAACAAATGAATAAATGTGCATCAATTATGATTGGTAGTAAATAAATTGAAATGCAAAATAATTTAGTTCACCATGTTGATATTTAAATGAGTTTAAATTACCTTATTACCCCCATCAATGAGAAGTGGACTACAAAGTATGCCAAACAACTCTCTTCTGGATTTGAATTCCACCGGTGTCACCAATCTTGATAAAATTTCCCGGTAATTTGGCGGCAAAAATTTTTCCCAAAGGAGATCGGAATCCGCCGCCGCGTGGAGTGCCGACGAGACAGCCGACGTTTGGCACGTATCACGAGGAGTGGTGAAAGACAGCACACGAGCCATGCAATCTTCCGGCAACTGATCCAGTTTCATCTCCTCCAGAGTTCTCACCAAGAACTAGAACTCAAAGCTCTGGCACTAAACACACACACACACACAATGTAAGATATATATTACTATTTGTGTGTGTGTATATAGGGAGAGAGAGAAATGATAATGTGTTTGTAATGTTGTAATGTGTTGTAATGTTATAGACAATACTATTGTAAAGATGAGGACATGAAGAGAAGAGATGAGGACATCTTAATTTGTCTGCTTGATGATATGCATATATGATGTCTATTTATTGTTAGTTTTTTTTGACCAATGAGGGTTGATGACCACACATGTGAGATTTATGGCCTTTGTATGTTTGATTAGTCAATTTAGAACCTGTTTGGCAAGAGGGAAAGTGTAGAAATGGTGGGTCATGCGCGTGTGGTGAAAATTGGGTGCCTCCTAGGTGTAAGGATGAAAATGAAATTCTGATTTCTACCCAAAACATTCTTATAATAAACCAAGCTTAAAACACATGACATACCTTTTTATATATTATTCCAAATTTTATATATCTATATATATATATTTGTCATTCTTATAATTTCGACACGTAGGAAGTTTGGGCCGTTTGGCACACATCACAATTTGTTGTGATATCAATTTTCCAGCCTTCCACTTAATTTATGTGTTCATTATTTCTCCTCTATATATCAGTTCCCTTCCATTTTACGTAAGAGGTCTATTGATTGTCACAAGACTACAAAAACATATGATGTCATTTATATTAAATATACAACCAACACATGTATGGCTTAATTATTCATCGTCACATTCTTGAAAAGCGTGTGGTGTTAGATTAAGAATGATGCGTGTTTCCGTTGTATATCATTGTCTTGGGGCTTGTGGCTTGTTCTACTTGTAAGATCTTGATATAAAAATATTTGAGTATTTATGGGTGAGAATATTGTAATGTTCAATAATTTAAAATTTTGAATTAATAAATAAGTGTTCTATTCATTACAATTGATATTAAAGTTAAATTCAGTTTTTAATTTTGTGTCACGCCAAACGTCCACTTGTGCAAAGTCCGAATGTGGGTCATTTTTGAGTGTTCTCTTCGTTAAAAAGAATGATACAAAAGAGGGTTAGTACTAGGTGACACAGTCGGTCGCCTAGGACCTCCAATTTAAGACCAAAAATTTGTATTACTAAGACTTCTCAAAATGTTGGGACTTACTTTCGCCTAAGACTTCAGAAAATATTGGACCTCTCGGGACAGCCCTGTGGTTATGCAAGTATGAAACACTATATATCCATGACTTTAAGCTGTTGGTTCAAGGGGCAAGCACCTCACAACTGCTCTATATACTTGGAACCTGGTCAGATGTGGAACCAGAAACAGACTCCTTCAATAAGTTGGCTCCGATCCAATACGATTGACTTTGAACCTGTCCAAACGTGTAACAAGAGATGTGGACTGCTTCAATATGAGCTGGCTCAATCATGCCAACAAATTGAGAAAAAGTTTAATTAAGATAAATATATTTTTATCTTTTTTTATTAACATTTAGGTTAAGTATCTAAAACACCTTTAAAGTTTACTTTTTGGGTAAATAATACACATCTATTTTATTTTGGGTATATAATTAACTCAAGAATTTAAAAATGTTGTAAAAAAAAGTTTTTTCGGTTGTTACAAAAAAAAAAACGATTTTTCGGCCGTTAAAAAAATATGTGTCCGGCACACGTTTGATTAAATTTAATAAATACCAAAATTACCCTTTTTGATTCTTAAAACGCATTTCCCTTTTGTATATAAATCTCAAAAACAAATGATATAATAGTAATTTTACATAAATTGAATTTTTATTTTTATTTTAATTGTAGAAAGGGTATTTTAATATTTTTATCATCCCCATTAACGGCCAATTGACGGGAGGTTCTTATTTGTCCCTACAAAATACGTTAATAAGGGTTTTTTAGAATCTATAGGAATTATATGAGTTATACGCATATTACAGGGATGTTAAATACTCGCGAACCTTCAAACTTACAACACAAATTAGATCTTGATTTTTTTTTCTTTTTTTTTTCTCTTGCACAGACAAGCTTATTTGGAGAACTAAACGTTCTACTAATTAGACCATAAGATAATGCCTTTGATCTTTGTTATTTGTGTCCATGTATCCTAATTTGTTTTTTTTTTTTTTTTTCCTCAATAAATATCCTAATTTGCTTTTAATAAATACCAAACATATGTCCTTATTTTAGTAAATACTTTGTGGGGTATTATTATAATGTAATCAAAATCATAAATAAGAAATCTAAATAAAAAATTTCAATAGGGGTGATTGCCACCGCTCAGTCTACTTCATCATTGTGTATGTATGATTTAAATTTTGCAACTCTAATTTCACATTACTTAAATTTTGACACGTAAAAAATTCGATGCATATCACAATTTATTGTGGACGGTGGGTTATATAAATTCCAACCTCTCAATCTTTGGATATTTCAAAACTCATTAACAACATTATTTAGGTCACCATTTTCGTGTAAGTGCCTACTATTTTTCTCTTTCAGTCTTCCATTTTTAGGTAGAGATGTATACAATAGGTACTCTTAATTGTTCGTTGTCACATTCTTTTCTTGTCTAGAACTTGCGGTGTGGGACACTGGTTGATGCGTGTTTTCATTGTAAATCAATCGAGTGGCCAAACAGTGTTGTCTTCAAAAATAAGATAAGGTTTAGTTATGATTTTTTTTTTTTTTTTTTTTTTTTTCCCCGAATAAATTATGTGAGCATAAATTCCCTGTTTTTCAGAGATTTTCAACATATTTAAATCGTGTTACATTTAAGTAAAAATTTGGATTAATAAATGTGGTGATGCAAATTCAAATTTTGAAGTCCCAGTGGGGAATTACTTTGAACAAATATATAATTTCATTTTTTTATATAAAAAAATTTGTATATTATTTTCCTTCCAACATTCTCGTAGGTACAACTTTAATTAATAATCCTACAAGTATGAGAAGCCACCTATTTTATGTTGGTTTATGGTCTTTCCAGTTTTAGATAAACCACCTAATTATATTATCAAACCTAATTTTAGACAAGTGCAACCAAATGTTGTCTTAACGTATTAGAATTGGAGAGGTAATCATGGTAATTAATTGATTTAAATTGCAAGAGATTTTTGCTTATAATATATTTAGAAATTTTTTAAAAATATATATTTATTATTTATATTTTTAACCCACATATCCTTGAAGGAAAAGGTCTGTCGGGCCCTCAGCATGGTTTTAACACATGGGTTTATAGAATTGATATAATGGTATCTCTTTAAAAAAAAATAACAATAATAAAATAAAAATAAAAAAATTACGGTGTTTTTTGGAGTTAAATGTCATAATTTTGCATCGATTTTGACATTGGTTTTTGTAGATACAAAGTACAAATTTTGTAGTATGCAAATAAAAAATAAAATAGGAAGCAAAAATAATAAAATTTTATTAATTTGAAAAAATTGGAGTACAATCCTCTTAAAGAAAATATCCTCTAATTCGATCTCATTTGTTGGTTGGATTCAAGAGTTGTTGGAACTTGATCTTGAATCAAGTTGTTGATAATCTTCTTCAACTATTTGTAGTTGAAGAAAATCTCCGATGATTTCTAATCGAGGGCTGACGAAACTTGATCTCGAACAGTGTTGTTTGATGATTCTTTGAACTTATTGAATCGTAGGGAAAGAATGGTACAATTTTGATATGCTTGTTGTTCCTTGTTGAATTTGAGGAAAAACGGCATGACTTTGAATTAGATGTGCTTGTTATTCTTCGTCTTTAGGTTTAGGTGTTGTAGAGGATTTCTGGCTATTTGGATTTCTGAGTCCGGATTTATGAGTCTCTGAATTTCTGATGACATACTTTTTCTCCTGATAAGGACAAAATTATAACTGGGTCGGGCACGTTATATTATGATAATTATTCTTAAAAATAATTATTTTAAATATATTTTATTAGGAATAATTATCTTTTCATTTAATCATCTAAACTAAACTAATTAAATAATTTAAGTGGACCAAGTTTGGGCCAATTAAATAACTTAATTAAATATTAAACCCATATTTGATGGGTTAATTTGTCAAAATCAAAGTCCATTAAAATTTTAGTGTCTACAGTCCTTTTATTAAAAATCTTAGACATTGATCCTATTTTTTAAAATAACACACTGTCCATCAAGGACTTTACAATTAAGAGTGCCTTTTTTATAAAATTTCAAAATTATTCCTTTGATTAAACTATTTGGACATGATTTGAGCTGTCACCTCTTTCTTCATATAAGAAATTTTCGAGCAATATAAATAAAAATTATTTTCCGGTAATATAAATAAAAATTTGGTTGGATTGTGAGAAAATATAGACTCTTATAATTCCAAATATAAAACCATTTTTCTTTTTTCTTTTTTTTTTTCATTCGAAGGCACAAAGGCAAGATGGCAGTACGGAAGCATAAAGTCAAGCTAGAAAATACAAACAAATATTGAAGCAAAGCAAATAATTGAAGAACAGGTTCCAGAGTTGTGGAAGAAACAGAGCCCAATACTCTGTAAACGGAACCACAATGGGAAAACGCAGCAAATAGGAGAGACCGAAAGGTCTGGCAATCATCACGGCTACCATTGTTTACCATACGTAATCCATCTACTGTTTCAATGAAAGTCAATTTATAAAACAGGGCCTACGGTTAAATAAGAAACAACTTAACTAAAAAATAAAAATAAAAATAAAATCAAGGATCAATTTGGAGAACTAACACCAAGGATCTAACGAGGCCCCTGAAACAACAAACAACTTAACGAAAAAAAAAAATTCAAAGATCAATTTGGAGAACTAACACCAAGGATCTCACAATCTCAAAAATTTTAAGATAGCATAAGTCAAAACTTGATTGAAGATTGCACTTTGAAGTTGTGAATGTCCCTTAAATGAGAACGAGTTGCAGCCAATTTATTGACAACCATTTTAATTTTTCATAGATTATGAATTATGGGTCTATGAAAAAAATATATTTAATGAATATATGAAGTAAAAAAAATAATAATTGTTTGTAACCATGATAAACAACAATGGCATAGAAACAAAATAGTGAGAAAGAGGGAGTAGAGTTTTCATAGTAGCTAGGAAACTAATTTTGGAATTTTGGGGTTCTGATGGTAGGTATGGTAGTTTGGCAGAAATTAAATTAAGGGTAATTTTGGTTTATTAACATATATTTTTATACCAATTATAACAGTTTGGTCTTGGTTGGTCCGGTCCTGTAGGATCCTAATCTGAGACCAAATTAAAAATTTACTATTTTATTATTTTAAAAATGTGACTGAACTGAACCGTTATAAAACCAGCCCAAATCGTCCGATTCAATTCGGTTCAGTCTAATTTTTCGGATTGACAATTTTTTTGCACATCCCTACTTTTTGGTTAGGCAAAGGCAATGAGGGAACCTTAACTAAATACCACCTAATTTTAAAAGCCAACCGTGCAAATAATTGATATAACTATATAATATTGTCCATTTGACTCATTCATACCGAGGTAATGTTTTAAAGTAGGTGATTTAAGTTTAAAGTATTATTCACCAAATGTCAACCCACCGGACTTTGTCAAGCCACCGGAGTTATAGTATTTTAAAGTAATGATGTTTTAAAGTATAATATTTTATGAAGTTTAAAGTACTGATTTCAAGCCACCGGACGACTTTGTTCGTCGAAAAAGCCATCTTTTCTGGTGGTTGCCCCATTGCAAGCGAGCCATACGGAGACCAAATGTCAAGCCACCGGACTTTGTCCATCTGAAAATTATTGAATATTCCAAATACCTATCATTTATTGCTCTAGTCTATAGTTATAAATATCCATTATTTTCTTTAATATCACTCTCGTTTTCAATTAGAGCTTGCATATGAAAAAATATATATTTATTTATATCTAGACAAATTAGGAGAGGAGGCTTTCGAATACAGAAACACTCGGTTCTCTTGATGGGCATATGGAAAAAATATACATATACAAATTAGGTAAGAAGAGATTTGAATATGGGCACATCCATTTGGAGAGTTGGACGTTCTATTAAGTCGGTGTAGTGGGTAGGCGCTTACCCATTTATTCAAAAAAATCAAATTGTTGGGTAGTACTACATACCCACCCATTTATACACATTTCAATTCTCATTTGGATCGGATGTGGGACAAGTGATGCGACTGAGCGTGTGTACAAAATAATGCACAACACTTTAGGTTTTGTAATAATGTCAAGTAGGCTTCATATTTTATAATTTATAAAACCACTAAACACTTATACTATGGAGTATGAAGCGAGCAGGGATCATCCCAAAAGATCTAAACAATGTTAGTTTTTGGAATTGAATCCTGCTTTAGTACTTATGTGATTGCTGAAAAAAGGTTTGTTTTGTGATTAAAACTAATTTTAATTTAAATACTTGTAACAAAAGAATAGAATTTAAAAGATTAGAAAAGAGACCTAGGGTGTAGGATTCACCACTAATCACATTCCTCAACTCACTAACTTTCAACTAATTTAGAAATAATACCACGTAATTATAATGTATCTAACATTTGCAAAGAAAAATATAAATCATTAATTTCAAACTTGAATTACCTACTTAATGACAATTAAACTAGGTATAGTATAATTCATCAATTCAAAGCATGACTCATCAATTCAAGCTATAATTTTAACATAAATTAATCAAGAAGGTAATGCAATTATGACAAAGAGCATGGAATTCAAACACAAGTATGAATGGTCTACTTACCTAATAATTATATTGCAATTAAACTAATTTAACATGAAATTAAAAATAATTAGACAATGAATTAACCTAGACATGTAATGTCATCCATCAAGTAAAAGTATTTTCCATCAATTTGAAACACAATTACAACGAATCAATACCATGCATGGCCATCACAAGAATCAATTAACAAATAATTCATGTGTAAAATTTGTTTATCAATCAACCACACATAAGACAACATGAGATTAATACAAATAATCAATTGAAAGAATTTAATTCATAATATTCAAGATTATACACTAATTACATAAGTTAATCCCCAAAAAGTGAAAAGATAGAAAGAATAGGTTACATGATTAGGGTTTATCCAACCCTAAGTAGAAGAATCAGCCACTCATGGTTGATGGATTCGCAAATAGAACAATATCTATCCTTTAATTCATTATTTCTGAGCTTTTTCTTCTAAACCCTAACCCGTGCTTCAGTTTTTTCTTCTTTCGCGTGTTTTTCCAAAGAGAATGATCTATATCAATTACAAAATAAAACTTAAATATAATAAAACTAACCCTAATAATGGTTCATTGGGCCCTTAAGTAACAAGCTTATTAGAGCCAAATAGGTTACAAAATAAGCCCAAATAAGTTAATTCCGTAACCAATAAAATAAGACAATCCCGTAACTGGTATGCTGCCAATAGCATGGCGTCCGAACGCAGTGTATTGAAGACTAGTTTCCGGACGCGATGAATGGCGTCCGGACGCGACATTTAGCTACATCCTTGCTTTCTTCTAGAATTTATCCCGATACTCTGGCTGGACTCCAAAAGGCCATAATGGACCGTTTTTAGCTCCTTTTAGCTTTATTGCTCTGAAATACACATAAACATAAATCAAGACTAAAACATGAAAGTAAGATAGATGTAAGGACTGAGATACCCTAGCTTAGGTGCTGAAATGCGCAATATTTAAGCACTTATCAACAAGTCTCACTTATAACATTCTCTAACACTCGAAACCGCACATAGCCTACCCGGAAGAAGACTCGGACGTTTGGTATGACACCAGATCAAAGACTGGTCTGACTCTGTTACCAATTATAACAGGTGAGCACTTATCCATTTATTTAAAAACTCAAACCTTTACATATATATTGCTATGTACCAATCCATTTATACATATTTTTCCTTTTGAGTTAATTTGCATGGTTGTTGGCTTTGGCGCCCTCACAACTCTGACGCGCCTTATCTCTTAAAAGGTTCAAAAATTTCTCAAATCTACATTCCAATTCTCAATTTTTATTTCACAGCCCAAACTTTTCTCTTCATTCCATCAATGGCCTTAACAACCCACAACTTCAAACCCACCATTCCCGTATCCTTCCACCACTTTTCCCTCACTCCCTCCCACTCACACACACTTAATCACCCCAATAACACACACTTCTTTGGCACCCCCACCCTTTCCACAATTCTCAACCATCAAAACCCAACAACGCTCACACTCTCTCGAAGATTGTTCCTGCCTTCAGTCTCCGGACTCTGGGACGCCATAACCGGTGGCAATTCGGCCCGCGAAGCCGTCCTCGCGGTTCGAAGAGGAATGCTGCTCTTCAGACAGGTATAAATCTCCCTTTCACAGTTCGATTCCACCTCAATTCTAGTTATGTTACTGTATTAGTAATTTATATACTTCTTGGTTGTGCAATTAAGGGTGATGTTTTGGGGTCTGTAATGGAGTTTGATAAAGCAATCGAGCTAGATCCTCGTCAGAAGGCATGTAAGTTCCTAATTTTTAATGGGCATGATTTTGCAAATCAATATTCTTGTTAAATCACACACCACACAACAGCATAGAGATTTAGGTGGTTCGAGTTATAACTCACACGGTAAAATGGTTTTCACTATGTGAAGAAGAAAGGAGAAGTACAAGCCTGTCAAACCCTAACAGGGTTTAGGGTTTATAACCCGAGTACAACCTTTGCCTCTATTTCAAGATTCTCAATTTGCATGAAGAATAGAAAAATCCTAGCACCCTTATATACCGGTGTCACAAAGGCAACTTGGGGCAGTAGAGAATTCGGACCACAACTCAACAATTTCATACTATGAACTATATAATATAAGACAAAGGGCATTTTTGAAGTTAACTGAATAATGGTAGTCATTAGTCAGGAGATGAAAGATAAATACAGCAGCCAAGTGGAAATGTATTGGTTTGCAGCACTAGTGTATTATCTTTGTAGCATTACCCAATTTTCTGTGATTTGCTAGTGTTGCTTCCGGTATTTATCAAAAAAGAAGCCATGTTCACCATAATACAAATGATAGTACCCTCACATTTCCTTTTTTAATTCAAATCCAGGAAAAACAAAAAACTCACTTTTATCATTCTTTTTCAGTGACAAAATGGTAAGTTCATAGCTGTAATTTTCTTGAACGCAAATTGTTGTGGAGAATTCAGTAATCCCCGGTTAATGTAGTGATGCAAATTTTGTTATTGGGTAATCAGATCTTTGGCAGAGGGGGCTATCATTGTACTATCTTGATAGGTATAAGTTTATAGTCTGTTCTAATTTTTTAAAGTTGTTTGTTTATTCTTGTTTTGAAATGTGTGAAGAAACTGAAGTAGGACTTTCTGAATAGGTTTGAGGAAGGGGCAGAGCAATTTCGATTAGATGTTGCACAGAATCCAAATGATACGGAGGAGTCAATATGGTGCTTTCTATGTGAAGCTCAATTATATGGAGCTGATGAAGCAAGAAGACGCTTTCTTCAGGTAAATCGTTTAGATGAAAAGAAGGATGGTAATTAAGCTAGCTTGTCTCATCCAGTTCTAGAATATGTTTCATTTTGTTATGAATTGGTGGAGATTGGAGGGAATCAAATGGATTAGTTTTGCATGCATTCCTTTAATTTTGCATGCATACATGTGGAAAATCTCTGATTTGTGAACTTATCTATTTCTTGTGTTGTTTGGATTGGTAATCTGTAAACGAACCTAATCTGGTTAGATTCTGCTTATATTGAAATTTCAATCCCCATGATATATATGTATGTGCATAATTATGTAATAGAAGTTCATATAAAATTTTGTCTCTGAATGTTACTTGTAACCAGCCTTTATATTTCCTACCACTTTGAAAAGAAGAATATGATTCTACTTGCATGTTATCTCGTGAAAAGATCAAAATAGCTTTTAAACTGTTTTTAAACTAAATACAGGTAGGTAGAGATCCACGACCTGTCATGCGGGGAGCTTATAACATGTTTAAGGATGGAGGTGATCCGGAAAAGGTTCAAACTAATGCTTTTCACTTTGAAACTCCACATTTGAATATTTAGTAGCCCTGAAGTTAAGGTGTTTCACTTCCCAACACATTATCAAGTATTTTTAGATCTTTCTATTCATACCATATGCGAAGAATGCAATTTTATTTTGCCCCTCCATGTCTGTGCAGGTGTGTCTGTGTTTGTTCTGCGTGTATATATATGCATTTCATATCAGTTCATGCTGATGATCCATTGGCATATCTGGATAATGCTTGAAGATCCAGTTTTTCATGTCTACCGTGTCCATTCTACTCTGTAGGCGAGGTTGATTTGTAAAACTTATGGTGTTTGTTCCACTTTCTGTGTGTTATCTAGGGAGATTTGAAGCATTGACTATGGTATCAATTCTGTCTGATAGCCCTTGAAGTTAGGTCACTTTGGGATATTGCTAGTGTCAGTATGAATTTACATATATGCTTATGGACCACGAGAAATAATCAAGAAACCAATCAAATAAAAGAAAGTTAATAGGGAGAAGAACACAAAACGTTACATGGTTCGGGCACTTTTTTCATCTACGGCACAAAAGGCAAAGAGCTACGTTTTCTTATAAATATCACTCCTTATACTCTTTACTTTAGGTGCAAGGACATGCAAGAGTTAGGTTTAAAAACAAAAATACTATCTAACTGATTGAGGAGATCATGGACTAAGCTAGAATATTAATTTCATTTGTTTGATCAATTATTCCAATCAATGGGGTGGGATATCGACGTGCTTTACACATTGGTGGCACTATATGGCTTCCTATTTTATCACTCATAACCAGTTGAATATCTAGAATAAACTTTGCTATAATGCAGCATAGTAGGTACCCTGGAAAAATTAGGTATATCCTTGCATCTTTTACCGCATAAAAGGCAAAGAGCTATGTTTTCTTATAAATATCGTTCCCTATACTCTTTGACAATTGGCTCTTGGAAATCCAGGCCAAATTGGCATTGGGAGCATTTAAGTAATGATGTTGCCTGTTGGAAGCATTGTTTTTCTTTTCTCTGAACCGACTGGCAAATTTTTTTCTATCGAGATGAAAATTCAATCTCTCTTTGAGAATTTTAAACTGTTAGGGACGCTTCTGGTATGCGTCATCTTCATTGCTTTATAGAGAGTGGCTGGCATGACAGTTAGTTGGGTACTCGATTTGTAGGCCCTTGACAATATTGTCAACTTGTTTTCTTTTTGAGAGGCTGATATCATATGGATTCATAGATATGCAAACGAGCAGGTAGATATTTTAGTTAAGGGGTGTCTCGTTTTTAAGGGAGAGGGTCACTCTTAAGTCTCATCCTCTTCAGGTTCTGGAGGATGCTGAAGTTTTTAGTTTGTTGTTTTCCTGTGTAACGATGCATAGCACATTGTTCTTTTTTCTTTTTCCTTCTTTTTGGGTTTTAGGGGACTTCCTTCACCCTCCTTTTTTCCTTCTCTTTCTACTGGAATTCCTCCGTCTTCCATTTCTGTTGTAATCTGTTCCTATTCTTAATAATATCTCTTCCTTTTCTTATAAAAAATTTAGGATATTAGAGGAAATTTGATACTGTTAAAAAAGTGTAGGCTACAAATTACAATATTGTTATGGGCGACTTCTAAGGTTTTCTTATGCTGCAGATTAAATTATCCAGCTTAGAAGAACATATCGTCTAAAGAATGTATAAAATAAAAATAAAATTTTGTGATTTCTTAGTTTGTAAAGTTCTGGATTTTTGAATTGTCTGTTTTGGTTTCAGGAAACAAAATGCTAGAAGTCAAGAAAGAAATTCAGCTTTTCTGTATTTAACCTATTTAGAGTACATGTGAACAGTTTCCTGTTTACCTAGGGTCCATTTTTTGAGGGAAAAATAAAAAAAAATTCAATCCATTGTATAGTTGTTTCTGTCTTCCCATTCCTTTTCAAAATGATTGAGTGCTGATCTCCAGTGTTTCATCTCAATTTTGAGATGCCAAAACTAACAATTTCCAGTGTTTTGCTATCATCATTCTGATTTAGTCAGCTTCCTAACCTGTTATGTCCTGACTGAACTTTTTAGATTCACAAAATCTCTTTTTCTTAACTTACTTCCAATAGATGAACCCCCGGTGCAGTAAGAAACCACCAATTATTCTCTATTTAAAATTGCCAGAAAATTGTTTTCTAGAATTTTTTTTTAGTCAGCTTCCTAACCTGTTATGTGCTGACTGAACTTTTTAGATTCACAAAATCTCTTTTTCTTAACTTACTTCCAATAGATGAACCCCCGGTGCAGTAAGAAACCACCAATTATTCTCTATTTGAAATTGCCAGAAAATTGTTTTCTAGAATTTTTTTTTTTTTTAGATTAGTGATCCACCTGCTTCGGTGGGTTTTTTTCCATGCAGCTTGAGGAAATTTTGTTAGTATTTATCTTGAGCCAGCTTTGTGAAAAATTATCTTTACGACTGAATTTATTTTGATCGGCAATTTTTTTCCCTGCTTTATTATCTGATATTTGAAGGGATTTGCAGTTGTGTTTCTTTCCTAGAATATCATTGGACTGAATCAATTGTTTTCTTTGCACAGCTTGTTGCTGCATTTTCAAGCAGTCAGGAGAGCGAGTATTTCTATGCTTCTTTATATGCTGGGCTTTATTATGAATCCGAGGTTTGTTCTCAACCTCTGAATATTGTTTCATTGAGGGTTCTCACAAGATGGATCTTGGTTGTATCATGAGCTGCAAACTCTTATGAATGCATTGGAAAGTGCTTTCTTGCAAATTATAGGAATGTCTTATAGGTATGACTCGGATATAATACTATTTCATTCACAATAACACAGATGAAATAAGCTAATTTATCGAAAGTTCAAGCAAACGAACACACACCCACAATATTTCCCCAAGCAGGGCTTGAACACGCAATATTCCCTTTAAGGAGGAGAGAGGGTACCATCTGGGCTAATGCCCATTTGCAAAGAAATATTTGGTAGGATAAGCTATTGTTACAATATATAGATATTCAAGGGCTTTTAACAGAGAAGTAGAACATTTTCTTGTAGGAATTCCCCCTCGTGAACTCAAATCTTTTCGTTACACCTTACTAAAAAGCCCACGCTGCTTATTCATGCCTTTTGTTGATGTTGCGGTAGAACTACAAACCAATGAACCTGTTATGATAAAGTAGCAAATTCGTATCGTTGCCAATAGATTGAAATTTTTTGATGTATACATCATTTGCGTTGGTTATTTAGGGTCTTCGGGGATATTAGAAGGTCTCACTGAAATAAACAAATTCTCTCTTTTTTTCATGGATGTTGGAATAAGTCCAATTTCTCTCAAGGAGCTCTATTTCATAGTATGTTTGGGTCATTTTGTTTTTTTTTTTTTTTAAATAAAATAAAACAAAAAACATCACTCTAACTCAGACACAAACACTCTCTCTTGACTATCTGGTAATTACATGAATCGTCATTCTCTATTTATCAAGATTAAATAAATAAAAGAAATAAAGAAAGAAGAAGAAGAAGAGATCTGTCATTTACATTTTTTTTATGTTATCCATTTGAGGTGATACCTTGCAATTGATGCATTTAGCTTAAAAATTACTCGTGAATGAGTGACGATGAATGCTTTGCAATTTCCACCTGTGCAGAAGAAAGCAGACGAGGCTAAACTCCACATACTTGCTGCATGCCAGTCTCCTTATGGAATAAGGTTTGATATCAAGAATTCGTCCGTGTTTCCTCATAATCTATACACATTTGTATGTATGTATGTATATATATATATCTAATCTATTGTTCATTTCAGATCTGATGATTACATGGCTTCACTCGCCAAAGTCCACTGTGTATGTCGAAATTGGGAGGCCAGTTGAGGTTGATTTGATTTCACTTCATATGCTCTGGATTTTACCGCTCGCAATATTTACACAATGTGCATGAAGGGAAGGCTTTTCTGAGTTGATTTGCATATCTACAGAATCTATATGCTTCATATCAAAAACAGTACCATGCATTTCTTAATCTCAAATGGATAAAAACAGTACCATGCATACAGAATATTGTAAACGCGTGCTAAAATTGCATTTGATTTATGTTTTAAATGTCAAATGGATAAAAATATAACGAGTAAATTGTGAGGTTGTGCTTGGTTTGTTATTGAAATGGTGTTTTTTTTTTTTTTTTTTTTTTTTTTCTGAATTATTAAAACAGAAATTTGATTGTTAAAGCTATATAATTGTTGGATACTTATTAAGATTTAATGCTTTTGGTGGATAATAATCATGTGTAGTTTAAAAAGTCAAAAAGGTTGTTGATCTCATTATGCCTTTTTTTTTTTTTTTTCTTTCACTTTTTGTGTAAATAATGATTAGAAAAATTACACTTCATTTCAGGCACCAAACAACTTTTGTCAAGAAGATTAAATCACATTTATTAGTTAAGCCCACAAAAATTAACCTACACCAAACACGCTTTTATTGTGTTAAATATATTAACAAAAATACACGGCTAGTTTGGTTTGTAAGTCTGAAAACATAACTGAAAATCAGAAAACTATTGAAAAATAATTCAATTTTATGAATACTATTTTCATAAACCAATTTTTAAATAATTATTTTTTATAATTCTCTAAAAAAATTCTGTTTTACGAGTTATTGCTAAGAACTGTTTTCAGAATTACAAACTAAATAGACCACCTTTCTAATGAAGAAATGTGCGGTACTTCTAATTTATTTTGGACCAAAGGATGTAAAACACTAAAACTGTCCACGAGTAATGAAACGTGAATTTCTCTGTTACTGCTTCATGGCCACTTTTGAGGTCTTTCAACATACATAAGCCAAAAGACTTTTAACAGCCAAGAAAGGCAGCAACTAAACTTGCAAAACCAACGTGCATAAATTGTATAAAAACTCTACTTGGTTCAAATTTTTTTTTTTCCTGAAAACTCAGTTATAAAACGGTTTATTTTTTTTGAGAGAACTTACTTTTATAGTTTTCTAAAAACAGTTTTACGTTTTGAGTTATTGAGAAAAGTTTTCTAATTGACAGACCAACCAGATTAATCTCCATGGATCATTCTAGGTCATGTAACATAGCAATTGCATCAAGCCCTATGTCTTCAAAAGAGTTTATTTTGCACCATGTATAAGATCAGTATGTCATATTTCACATTCTCATGCATGCACAAGCATAAGCACAAGCACAAGCACAAGTTCTTTTATTTTATTTAATCTGCAGATATTTTATGATAGACCATATTGGAAAAAAAGAATAAAGCAAAAGACTATTATATATAAAAAAGAGAGAATTTGAAAGAGCAATTACCTTGCCCTTTCTTTTATTTTTGTTACAATAGATTTGGTGCAGTAACAGGGACAATTTGCTGAGATGAAGGAGAACTGTGAAAGAAGAGACAGACAGCAGAAATATCATCCACTGCAATACCCCGCCTCTTGCGCTTCCATGCACGGACAGCGCATTCAACCAGACGTTTAGAGGACTTTGCTCTGTCCGGCGTTGATGATACAATTTGCACTGCTTCTTGGTTGGTGATAACATCCCATACCTTCACAAAAAGATTAAGGTTTTTCTTAGCATTCATCGTAGTGTTTGCTCATTAGCAATGTATACATGTTACATACTTCTCTGAGACACATCCAGCAACATCATTATCCACATAAAAAGTCCTAAATTTTACTGCTAGCTATGATTCAAACGATTGGGGAAAAAAAAAAAGTGATACCACAACAGAAAAATGATGAATTCTTATGCAACCCTAATAGCAAGCAAAACCAATGTGCAGAAATCCATTGCTTGTAGTTTTATTCAGAGGAACACTCTTCGTTGAAAAGAATCCCTCCAACAAATATAACAATCATCCTCCTTGAACAGCTTGGCATGGCCCTTCCATGAACAGGTTGTCGACGTCCAATGTAAGTGTACTGTGTAGTAATGTAGTGTATTATCTCCTTTAATTTCTCTTCTTTCTTTCTTTCTTTCTTTCTTTTTCTTTTTCTTTTCTTTTTTCTTTTTTTTTTTTTCTACTGCCAATATAAATTATTTTAGTGGAATATTAGACTTTCAAATCTAGGAAAAAAAAAAAAAAAAAATGTGACCAAAGCGCTTATAAATTAGAAGAAATTAACATAAGTTTTCCTTTTCCTTTTCTGTGAGTATAATAACTACCAAAACCATCATACGTACCCCATCTGTTGCCAGCACAACAAACTGATCTCTGCTAGTTATGTGTCTTTGTGTCACTTCAGGAATGGAAATAAGTCCGAAATTTTTCACGCAGTAGTCCCCAAAGGCTCTGGACATAGCCAGTCCAGGGCATTCTTCATTTGGCAGCCAGATCCTGTGCAACCCAGGCTCGTCATCTAAACAGAACACTCGCCCTTTGCACTGAATTATCCGCTCCGCCTCCTCTGTGAACAATATTCACCCAGTTAGTACAATGTTCCAAGAAGTGTGTGTGTGTGTGTGTGTGAGAAAGAGAGACTCACGAGGTAGATTGGGCTTGAAATCAACAGTAAGCTGAACTGGTACCAAGCTGCCATCATCTGATGTGGTAGCCAATACAGCACGAGAGTCGCCCACATTTGCCACAACTATAAGGTCACCCTAGAAAAATATCAATTCAGGTGAATGAGAAAATCATGCTAATCAGATAAACTTAAAAAGGTCATAAATGTTCATGTCTAGTGCGGTCCCTGTAAATTGACGATGTTGGGAGGGGTGGACAGACTGAAGATCTAACATTTGGTATCAAGTGCACAACATGGTTGCTCTCAGGATTTGAACCCATGTTCTCATCGTTGAAAGCCCAAGCATTTCACCAACGTACCAGGTTATGCCCCCTAAACTTGCAGAAGCTAATAATACTAGCTGATTCATGCTAATCTAATTGATGTTTCAAATTTAATAACAAGAGAATTTCTGCAACAATTATAATAAATGCAATTATTTATGAAAAATATATATAATAAATGCAATTGCTTCCTTGCCTGAATTTGTTTGATGTTTTAAAATATCTTGATTTTTTTTTTTTCATAATTTAAAAATATCTTGATTTCTTTCAAGCATGGATAACAAAAAACAATTTTTTAATAGGAGGCAAATAAAAATCAACTTGCTTTGTATTTAACCATTATATGACTTCTTTATCTCATAATTTTTTAATTACCGAGTAAGTTTTATTAAGTTAAATGGAGTTCCCTAATAATGGTATACTATTATCTCGAATGAACTTTAACCGACACAATTCTCTTCCTCCTCTTTTTCTAATTGCATTTCATCTTATTTACATCTAAGAGAGTCTGCACGTAATTAGCCAAATTAAACCCAAGTAAATTGTTTCCACCTTCCTCGATCAGTTAATCAGTTCCATATTAGCTTGTGCTGTTTCAACATTTTGGTTTTAAGAAAATTATAGTCATCACTGGGCTTTTCATAATCGATCAGCAGGGAAAGTTAGTTATGAAGATATGACTTAATATATATGATATCAGAAATGCAGGTGGTGACTAGACTAATAAAAATTTATCAGCAGAAACACTAAGCATACTGGCATTGCAATAGGATACATGGATTAGCATTTCTAAAGTTCATTTCAAAATTTACAGGAATCAGAAACTCCGGTTACCTGTCTGACAATAGTCAAAGCAGTGGTGCCACTATAGAATGAATCAATTTTGCGGTTCTGCTGTAGCTTCTGATCAACAGCAGCGCAAGTCTTTAAGTAGGAATGCTTCCATATGTTAAACCGATTAAACTTTTTATTTGATTCAATGTCAAAATCAGGGTCAAGTGAAGCTTCAGCAATCATCTCCTGCCAATTGCGGAGCAAAGATGATGGCATCGATTCCCTAACCCTCTTTGCCACATAATGGCCCCATGGACCATGCCCATCAAAAATCCCACAAAACATCATGTCTTCTTGGCATCCAAATTCCTGCCAACAAAGAAACGAAATCCACAACTCAAAACCCGAAAATTACCACATTTTCATATACTGCCTAATGCTTCTAGTATAGTTATCAACAATAAAGAGACAATACCAAAAGAAATGAGAACTTAAGCCTATTTATTTTATGGACAACAAAGACTAAGATCAAATAACTACCAATTATTCTTCTAAGCATACCTCCCACACGATGAAGCAATCTTGGTTCACACCTTTCTCTCCTCTTTTGGAGAAAAGTGATGCAAAATTGTTCGAACCATTGATGTTAACAGTGCCTGAAGACCTCAATATTAAGTCGTTCTTCTTCGCTTCCTTCGCCATCACTTCTGCAGCTTCTTTCCCCTCATAATTCCCAGAATTCCTCCCTTTCTTGATTGACAATGTCCTTGCCAGTCCATTGAACATGGATGATAAATGCCCCATATCACGCCTCCTAAGCAATTCAATTTCCAACACAATAAGGTACTCTTCTTGTTTGCACATTCAAAACTCCCAACATATAAATGGATATATATACTGAATTGAGTTATACTTGGATGAGTAAAAGATGTGATCTGACTCGGAAAGCTAAGAATCTCAAATTTTAAAAACAGAAAAAGAAATGACTAATCTAGAAGAGGTTAAGCTTTCCAGTTCAAGAAAAGCAGAAAATATTCAGTCCTTACATGGAATTCCAACAGTACATGTAAGTATCTATGTTTGGTAGCTCAGGAAATGTACTAAAACGAAAAATAAAATAACATCAGAATTTTATATCTTAGACTCCCCATACCCCATGTTTCAGTTCTGAGCAAACAAACAAAAAACTGAACATACAAATGGATAATAATCATAATATAAACATACACACAAACAATCATGTAAAGCATATATTGATTGAATTGTATATAGTTACTACTTAGCTGAGTAAAAGGTGTGATCTGACTCGGAAAGATAAGAATCTCAAAATTTTAAGTGGAAAAGGAAAAGGGTTCATCTGGATGAGATTAAAGAAGCTTTACAGCTCAAGAAAAGCAGAGAATATTCAGTCCTTACATGAATTCCAACAGTCAATGTAAGCAATTCTGTTTGTTAGCTCAGAAAATGTACGGTAAAAGAAAAAAAAAGAAATAGCATCTAATTTGACTCTTAGGATACCCACTTTTCAGAATTTCCACAAAGCCTGATATAATAATGATACAGAATAAAAGAAACCTTCTTTCCGTTCTCTTCCTTCGTTTTCTCAGCAACCAAACAGAGGATTATCTTGTGAAAGAAAAAACAACATAATTTACTATAAAAAAATATATAAAAAAAACCCAAATCCATGAGAACTTTTTAAGATGCAAGTGAAATTGATGCGAGAGATGACCTTGTTTTTCAGGCAAATTTTCTCTCACTTTCCTCCGTTTTCTCACCAACCAAACAGAGGGTTATCTTGTGAAAGATAAAGCAACATAATTTGCTAAAACAACCCAAACCCATGAAAATTATTCTGATGCTAGTGAAATTGATGAGAGAGATGACCTTGTTTTTCATGCAAATTCGGTGGGTAATCAGAGGAATAACTATGCCGGAAACTGACAGACACGCCGGAAGTTCAACGCTCCGGGCCGGAAACTGACGAAATTCCGACAGTTGGAGCTAAGGTCTCGAGGCATCGAAGGGAGAGACCGATCGTAGTCCATTGTTTGGCTCGTTTTGGATCTTTTTATGTGAAGGAGAAGAAAACAAAGAAAGTGGCTTTTCTGTACGCAAAGACACACAGTCACACACAGTGTACGTGTATTTCTCGTTTGTGAACTCAAAGAAAAAAGTGGCTTTTTACGTAAACTCTGTGTCCGTTAGAATATGGGATTGGAAAGTCCACTTTTACCCTTCATTTGTAGGTCCTAATTAGGCCTAAGATAAGTGTAATTTTGGAATAGCAAACCATTTAGAAAATTTGCTAACACTTTGGATAAGATAGATGGTTCATGAAAGCTCACCTCAATAACTCAAGAATGAAACTTTATGAATTTTCTAGAGTAGTTCAAAACATTCCAAAAAAAAAAATTAATATGAATTGTTGCTTAAAAATGTAGGATGTTATATTTTTATAAATAATGTAAAATGGTTATGATGTAAAAAATACTAACACTTTCTATTTGTTTATAACGCATATAGTTTTTGTGAAAATTTTGTGAAAATTCCAGGTTTATAGCAAAATAAATTAAATAATCAATGTAATTGTAATTTTCGAAATTTTTGAAAGTATCAGCAATACATCATCCGAGTGTATTTATGTAAGTGAAGAATTATGTAATTATGACATTATTAATTATGGTAATGTCACATCTTCATCTATTTTCGAAATATTTTGATTTGTAACTTAGAAAAACTGAAAGTATACAAAAACTATCCTTAAACAAAAACTACCCTTATCATATCATTTTCTTCTATAAAAAGGTGAAAGTTTAAGAAGTTTTTTTTTTTTTTTTTTCACAAGAAATATTTTGTTGAAAGTTTCAGTGTTTTCAAAGTTACCACTAAATCACGATGTCCTTAATTTATATACAACAAATCTCTAATTAAAAAAAAAAAAAAAAAAAAAAAAAAAAAACATAGTGGTCATTATTTATAACGGCCATTTGAGGACGGTGTATTTCAATTTTTTGTGAGAGTTCAAGGGGTTTTTAGCAAAATAATTAGTGTAATTTGTGAAATGGTGAAAGTTTAAGGAAAATTCATTGTTTTTTGTAGTCTACAGTCTACCTTAAGTCACATGAAACGGGAACATGAGTAAATTCGAGAGCAGGAGCATGAGAATGGCATAATTAAATCATAAATAGAGAGAATTTGAGTCAGAGAGTGTGCGGAGCATAAAAACGACACCCATTAAAAAAAATTATGTGATTTAGAGTCTCTTAAGTCAATTTCTAATAACGATCAACACATTCATTTTATATACTACAACATATCTATAATTTAGAAAAGAAAAGGGTGTTTTTTAGTAAATGATTGAGCTAGACTAAAGAAAAATAATGTTTGGATAACTTTGGTTGGCTGAACAGATTGAATTTATATACATATAAAAATAATGTTTGGATAACTTTGGCTGGCTGAACGGATTGAATTTATATATATAAAAAATTGAAGGTCCACAGCTCGATGCTTATTTCTTTAATCTTTTCTTTTTGATTCTTAAGGAGATTAATTACGGTAAGCTTACATTATTAATTTTAATTTAATAAACCTGGTCTCCAATATAAAAGTCATTTTCTCGAAAGGAATGTTTATGATTAGCTGAGCTATAAACTAATAATGCGTGGACAGCATTGGTTGGCTAAGAAGATATTGTTATTTTTTTTTTATAAATGAAGGCCCACAACTTATGAATGGTGACACCCTAAATCACACAATTCTTTTAAATGAGAGCGTATTCTTGTTTTCACGTTTTGAGTATGCTCTTGTTCCTATTCTCACTATTTGTGATTTAATTTTGTCGTTTTCGTACCGTTCGAATTCTCTTCCACTCCCACTTTATGCGTAGGTTACATTATTAATTTAAATTAATTATGTTGAATATAATTAATGTTTGTCAAGAAATATCAACCATACAAGTGGCTGCTCTATTTTCATGTACAAAAAAAAAAAATTAGGTCAAATCCACCACATATTTAAACAACTACATGTTTTAATTAATTGAGTTATGTATATGAAAAATGATAACTACACACACAACTCACACTATGTTGGCAACATAGATAATTAGGAGTATTGTAGGGTTGCGAATCTCTTTACTATAATAAGTATATATGTGAAGCTAATCATTGAATACCAAACCTTACAACAAAAATGTCCAACAAAATCAAGAATGTCCAAAACATTCTTCACTCCAAAAATGTCCAAAACATTATTCACTCGAAACATGTCCAAAACATGTCATTCCTTAAGAGGGAGAAAAATATTGGTGAAATTGTTAAATCAAATCGGATTCGATAAGTTCGATCCAATTATTTTTACAATTTAATTCGATCTCGATTTTAAAAATATAAAATTGTTTGTAAATGATTTAATTCTGATTTAGTGTCTTATAAGATCAAATCGAGTTGAGCTGTGATATAAATATAATATAAATTAATAGTTTGCTTTAAGTATTGAATAATAGCATATATTTTGTTTTAAAAATGAAAAAATTAAATTAATTTATATTGCATTGCGCTGATGATAATTCAGATTATCTCCATATTCAAATTAAAAATGGAAAAGGTCTAAAAACGGAATATGATAAAATTTTGAATCTAGCTTCCCAAATTTTTGGGTTAGGAGTCAAATTATCTGAGGTGCACTGTAACATGTTGTAAGTATGCTCAAGGCAATTAAATATCACTAGCTAAATGTAATTATTTTTAAAAATTACAAACATGATACAACAGAGAATTCCTTACAACAGAGGATTTATACATGGGCTTCATTTGTTTGGACGTAAAATATTTTGTGGTGTTTGATTATCGTAAAATGTTTACGAAGAAAAAAAATATTAAAATTAAAAAAATTAATTTATTCGTAAATTTTTGGCAAGTTATTTTAAATGCCCCGCCTGATGGACTCGACCTCAATCTCGACGTAAACCTTTGCCAAATATTGATAAAGTAAAAATAAAAAAATATTTTACCTGAAAAATAAAAATATTTTTCAAAAAAAATATTTTACGTCGAAACAAATGGAGTCCTAGTGTTGTGCAGAAATGAAAGTCAATGCAAGAGCAGGAGTGCTCGGGAGCAAGATTGCGCGGGTAGCGTGAGACTAGGAACACGTGCAACGCGTGACATTCATTTAAAAGAATTATATAACTTAAATCCGGACGAAATAGAGTGTGAATTCTTTGCTGTATGGTATAGTAGAGGATTCAACCTCTTGAATGTGTTGGTCCAAAGTATCCTGAATCCTGGTCCAATGTATGGGCACAACAAACTCCATGGTTGGATCTGAACCATTCACTTTGGTACAGCACGTTTTACTGTCGGCACACTGTACAGCAGAGGATTCTGTGAAACACAACACCACTAAAAACCTAACAAGTCACGTGATGATGTTAGAAGACCAAATCAAAATCTGACACGTGTGCGCATGAAAGCAATCACATGTGGGACGGTGCATGTGAAAACGACGTCTAGAGTTTTCCAAAAACCCCATTAAATTTTTGTCCAGCTTTAGTAGGTTTGAATTTTGGACCAATTTTAGATCTTGACTAATATTGGTCTCTACTTCTTATTGGAATGTTTGGGTCCTAGAATGAGAATGACACGACAAAAATCTTAGTCCATTTAATCATAATTTGCACCACTTATGGTTCCACTCAAATTGTAGCCTCATGTAGGACCCTATCAACCAAAATCTAACACAATTAGTGGTCGTTAAATGATTAGGAATCCCAATTTAATTGATTTGTTCTAAACTTTTTTTTTTTTTTTTGCCGCACGCTATATTATGATTCAACACGTGTATAATTAGTGCGAGATTCAAAATAAGGATGGAAATTCATGTTGGCAGGTTGCGTTTCCGAATATGAGTATTTTGACACAACACAAAATAAATAGATAAAGACTTGACACAATATAAAAAGACATCACAATTCACAAAACAAACATATATAAATCATTTATGATATGATCACGATATATTTATTTAATATGTTATCTAAACTATAACACGTTTAATTATTGTTTCAATTTGGATCGATACATTTAAGTCAAATCTAAACCCACTTATCTCGTATCGTATTTAAATCGTGTTATCCTGTCGTATCAAATATTGTCATCCTAATTCAAAATAATAATGTTGAAACTCGAAATAATAGTGTTGGAACTTCTATTTTAGCACATTAAATCTTTGTTCAATACAATTATTTAAAAATAATGGTATTAAAGTCTTTATTTTCGATACAATTATTTAAAAACAATGGTACTAAAGTCTCTATTTTCAGCATATATATTAAATCGTGGTTCAACATGAAACGAAATATATATATATATATGGGGAAAGTGCAAAAAACATTTTGAAATATATTTTTTGTAGCATTTTTATTCCCTATTTGAAAAAGTGTGTAATAAACACCCCTAATCTTTTGAAATTGTGCAAAATTACTCATCTGTAATACCCATTTTGCCTTTTTAGTCTTTCCAAAATACCCCTCCTTCTCTCTCTACTCTCTGCCCAAAGTTCCTCCCACCACCGTCGAATCACAAGGGCAGCAACAGAGTTCTCAGCGTCTCTTATGCTGGACTTCTCATCTCTTACCATATGAAACATACAAATCTCCTCTCATGGGCAGGACCCCGACCCACCTCTTTCTCTCTACTCTCTGCCGCGAGTTCAACATCACAACCCGTTGCTCACCGGCCGCCGATTCAGTCCAACCCTCCACCGGCCGAGCTCTCCTTGCCATTCTTCATCTCTTGCTCGCTGCCGCCGCCTCCATCACTGCCATCACCTTCCTCCGTTTATGTAAGAAAAAGGCCCACTGTTTTTCACCACCGTTCTCGTCGTGGATCTAGGCAAGTAAATCAGAGTGGTGGTTTGGAATAATAGCAGACAACAATGAATTGAGTCAAGACGAGACGGCAACAATGAAAGGAGTAGCGGGACTGAACTTACCGGCGAGTCGCGGGACTGTATTTATCGACGAGCATGGAGGACTTGTTTTATCCTGCGAGCATGGACCGTTGACTGCGATGAACGGCGATGAAGCGGACGGAACCAGCGATGAAGCACTAAGCCTACCGAAACGGCGGCAGCGAGCAACAATTGTAATAGT